CCTGTTTTCCATAAGGTTTCCTTCTGAAGAGATGTAGATGCAATTGTACTTTAAAGCATTCGCTTACACAGCAAGGTAAAGCAAGGTCCTTGCAATAGTAATAATAATAATAGTAATAATAGCTTACCTTGCTGTGTAAGCGAATGCTTTAAAGAGATGTGGATGCAATTGCATTTTAAAGCCCTCACATTGCAAGGTAAAGCAGGGTCCTTGCAATTATTATTATTATTATTATTATTATTATTATTATTATTATTATTATTGCAAGGACCCTGCTTTACCTTGCAATGTGAGGGCTTTAACATGCAATTGCATCCACATCTCTCCAGAAGGAAACCCCATGGAAGACAGAAGGAATTACTGCCCAGTAAGCTTACGTAACAGTCTCCCCAACCTGATCCCTCCCACCACAACATACACACACGTATTTGATTATATAACCACTGCTATTACCATGCTTGTTGGGGATGATGGGAGGTGTACATTAACACATTTGGAGAGTATCTGGTGAGAGAAGACTAGTGTACAAAACAAACTTCCTAAAACATACTCTTGGGAATCAGCTAGCAAATACATCTCTATGTACAGTCTCAACCATCCAGAGCTTGAAAACATTCCAATTTTTATTTAAAAAATCTAAAAAGCAATTCTTGCTTTTGCTATTTTGTATACAGGGCACCATTTGACTATACCATTGCACATAATGGGACGTCTGCATCCAGAGATTTTGGCCCTGGAACCAAAACCAGCTGACCGAAAAGGCCCATTGTAACAACAATTGCTGACACTACTTGCCAGGTATTGATTTGATTGTATTTTACCTCATACAGAGAGATGGGAAGCACTACTGTATGCCACGTATTCAGCGTGGGATTTGAGCTGTTCCTAACTGTTAGCTATTCACTACACTTGTACAAAGGCTTATTTCATTCACATAGGTCTGCCTGCTCAGATACATGGAATCCATGTGTACTTTTCCTAGTAACTGCTGCAAATAATTTATATATCAGTACGTTAGACTCCTCCTTTTCATTCAGAAACATTTGTTATCTTCAGATCCAAGGGCCCTTCCTGCCTGTGTCCTCTGTTGCCTTTAGTTGCAGAGGCTTTTCCAGCCTTATTTTTTCAGCCTCGTCACTTGGTCACGCAGCAAGACATGTGAATATCCAAGCCTGATATGACCCCTCTTGTGGCCAGCCTGTAAACTGCATGCCTCAGTATTTCATGCTACCATTTCAGTGTTCATGGGAGATGAGGACTCCTAGAATAGTCTTGACGCTGGGTCCATGAATGATTGTGATGACCTATTCTGGGTCTTCACAGTTATAGAATCATAGAGTTGAAAGAGACCACATGGGCCATCCAGTCTAACCCCCTGCCACACAGGAAAAGCACCCCTGACAGATGGCCATCTGTTGTTATTCATTCGTTCAGTCGTTTCCAACTCTTCATGACCTTATGGATCATGCCACACCAGAGCTCCCTGTTGGCCATCTCCACCCCCAGCTCCTTCAAGGTCAATCCAGTCACTTCAAGGATACCATCCATCCATCTTGCCCTTGGTCGGTCCCTCTTTCTTTTTCCTTCCATTTTCCCAAGCATAATTGTCTTCTCTAAGCTTTCCTTTCTTCTCATGATGTGGCCAAAGTACTTCATCTTGGCCTCTAATATCCTTCCCTCCAATGAGCAGTCCGGCTTTATTTCCTGAAGTATGGACTGGTTGGATCTTCTGGTGGTCCAAGGCACTCTCAGCACTTTCCTCCAACACCACAGTTCAAAAGCATCTATGGCCATCTCGCCTGTTTAAAAGCTTCCAAGGAAGGAGCTTCCACCAGACTCTGAGGCAGAGTTCCACTGCTGAACAGCTTATATGGTCAGGAAGCTCTTCCTCATCTTCAGATGGAACCTCCTTTCCTGTCATTTGAACCCATTGCTCCAAGTTATGGTCTCCAGGGTGGCAGAAAACAAGTCTGCTCTCTTCCTTATAGTATCCTTTCACATCTTTATTCTTGGCTGTCATGTCTCCTCTCAACCTTCTCTTCTGCAGGCTAAATATATACAGTTCTTTAAGATTCTCCTCATAGCGATTCATGGTCTTCAGATCTTTGATCATTTTAGTTGCCCTCCTTTGGACACCTTCTAGAGTCAATATCACTTTTAAACTGTGGTGCCCAGAACTGGACACAGTATTCCAGATGAGGTCTAGAATAGAGAGGCACCACGACTTCCCTCAGTCTAGACACTATACTCCTTTTGATGCAACCCAAACTCCCATTGGCTTTTTTATTGATATAAAGAATGCCATTTGATTTATTCTCAAACACTATGTAATTTTTAGCATGGAATACAACATTGGCTTTTAGAGCTGCTGCATCACACTGCTGGCTCATGTTCAACTTGTCGACAAAGACTCCAAGATCTTTTCCACATGGACTGTTGTCAAGCCAGGCATCACCCATTCTGTGTCAGCTGCAAACTTAAGAAGCACACCCCTTAAACCCTCATCCAAGTCATTAACAGTTGAACAAAACTGGGCCCAGGACTGAACCCTGCAGCACTCCATTAGACACTTCTTTCCAGGATGAAGAGGAACCACTGGTGAACACCCTTTGGGTCTGGACTTTTAACCAATTACAGATCCACCTCATAGTAGCATTGCCTAGCCCGCATTTGACTAGTTTGCTTGCAAGAGTTCATGGGGGAATTTGTCAAAGGCATTCCAAGAATCAAGATATGCTACATACACAGCATTTCCTGCATCTACCAAACTTGGAACTCTATTGAAAAAAGATAACATTGGTCTGGCATGACGTTGAGAAATCCATGTTGACTTTCAGTAATAACAGCATTCCTTTCTAAGTGATTGCAGACTGCCTCCTTAATGATCTGCTTAATGGTCCATTACAATGAGGATGTAAGATTTCCAGGTGGAAGGCATTCATGACTTTTGCATAACATGCCTTCTTCCATAGCACTGTTGGGAACAGCTGACCTCCAGTTACAACATTTGAGTGCCAGGGCTTCCCGGTTCTCTATGTTTACACCACATTTTTAAGGTTAGCACTAAACCAATCTTTAAATCTATTTTGTTGTCCACCAACATTCCATTCCACTATTCTCAGTTGGGTTGTTGTAAGTTTTTTTGGGCTATGTGGCCATGTTCTAGAGGCATTCTCTCCTGACGTTTCGCCTGCATCACTACCTCACTACCTCTGAGGACCTCACTACCTTTGAGGATGCTTGCCATAGATGCAGGCAAAACGTCAGGAGAGAATACCTCTAGAACATGGCCATATAGCCCAAAAAAACTTACAACAACCCAGTTATTCCAGCCATGAAAGCCTTCGACAATACATATTCTCAGTTGGTTTGCAAACTTGGTGGGCAGGTTGACAATTACAATCAGCTCTCCACATATGCTGGAGTTAAAGCAAATGAAAGTGAAAAAACACAAATAAAAAAATTGCTAGTTTTTAACTTGCGATAACAATTATCTCGGAAATTCCTGGTCTTCCGGCATGACTCTAAGGTTGATATCCACTGGAAGCTGACCACAGAATTAAAGTAGAAGACCTGGAGATTCCTAGAGAGGTTGTTCTCTCTAGAAATCTCTCGGTCCTCCAACATGACCAAAAGAAGTTGGCCATAGTCATGATGGAGGACCTAAAGATTCCTAGAGAGAAGTTTCAAGTCTTAAAATCTGCTGAAAAATTAGGAAAATGCATTTCATTTCTTTGCAGCATTGCATGTCATAGCTTCATAACAATTTAGTGAAGTTGGGGGCTACAATACACACTTCTAACAGAGGGATGCAGATAAAAAAAATCTACCAGGCTAGATATAATTATGTCTGACAGCTAGCAATCAACAGTTCTCAATGCCACTAAAATCTAACAAGTTTATGATACCTATAATATACTTATGGGTGTTGGGTCATGCATGTGAAATCTGAATAGTACATTATTGTAACTAAATACCTACATAAGTGAGTGTTAATACAAAAAATGTTTAAGAGTTAAGTCTTTACCGCCAAATACTCTACACATTTCCGCTTGATATTAAGTCTAGTCATGTCTGACTCTGGAGGTTGGTGCTCATATCCATTTCTAAGCTGAAGAGCCGGTGTTGTCTATAGACACCTCTAAGGTCATGCGGCCAGCATGACTGCATGGAGCACCGTTGCCTTCCCGCAGAAGCAATACCTATTGATCTACTAAAATTTGCATGTTTTTGAACTGCTAGATTGGCAGAAGCTGGGCCTAAGAGCGGGAGCTCACCCTGCTCCTTGAATTCGAACTGCTGACCTTTCGGACAACAAAAAAAGAGAGGCACGTTCAATATAAGATCATTTTAAGAAGGCATTTTCAATGTACTGTTTTTCAGTGTCTCAATCTATTCTGGAAATGGAGGATGAGAGTATAACAAAGCAATGCTTGATGGAGCAATATAAACGGGGAGGTTGGGTTCAATACTGGTTAGCCCTGCTCCGCCAGTATTTTGATGGGTCGACATCAACAGTTGACCCAATTGAACAAGAAAGCGACTAGAGACTAAATCTTTGAGATGGATATAACTGACAACTTGCAGACTAGTAAACAGCAGGGTTTCACCACTTGGTATCCTCACTAAAGAGTGACTAATATTGTCAGCAATATCTTCAAGACTTAATTTCTGTAGCCCTTAGAAAAGCATTTACAGCCCTGCACTTCCAAAAAAAAATGCCATCAGGCTGGATAGAGCAGTGTTTCTCAACCTGGTGCTCATCTCCGTTTCTAAGTCAAAGAGCCACCATTGTCCGTAGACACCTCCATGTGGCTGGCATGACTGCATGGCCAGCTAATGGTCAAAGGACACATAGCATAATGCCATTTTAAAAAAAATGTGCTTTTTAAATACATTGCAACTGCACCCTTGATTCGCTTCTGATACGATACGATTTGATATCATGGCCTATGGCTGGTACAATAAACAATTCATTTGTGTCTCAATCTAGTCAAGACTTCCAGTTTATCAATTTTATTTTCATTTCTACAAAATAGCAATTTCAAAAAAATTACACATATCATTAAAACATGGCTGTTTATCACTTCAACATATTTACAGCACCAGTGGTTCTATATTTAACGTTTAAAAAAAAACACAAAAAGCTCATCTCACACAAAAAGCCACACAATGGAAGTATCAAATGTACTTAAAGCCTACACACAAAAAAGGCACAGCTGAGTTGGACCTCTTTGGAATCATCTTCAAAAATTTGGATGCAAACTGACAAGCAAATCCTATTGCATCTTCAGTAGGAAAAAAACCCATTATTTCTGTCCCCAGGACTGATGGGTTACATTGCAAGTGTTCTCCTATTAGAACACTACATTTAAAAAAAAACACAAGATCCAGACCTGAAATTTAAAAGGGGTATTTTAAAAAGTTGTAAAAATTATCCTGCAATGCAAGCAAGGTTTTCAGAATCTCAGTCTGCATTTGACAGGAGTTAAAATAAGGCTTGGAGAGATCAGTTCCTCCAAAGTTATCCAGGTGCCCTGTCCCGTTGTCACTGATGATGTTTACAGGAGTTTCACTTGCTCTGTCTTAGGAACTCTCTTGAATAAAACGAATGTCAGCCAAACAACTGAGACTGTTATCCGGAGCCAATACAGGAATTCTGTCATCCAACCAAAGGCAAGGCAGTAAGTGGAATGAGTCAAACCACTAAACTTTCTCTGCTCACAGCATGATTCTGTAAGGGAAACAGAAAGTCAAAGTTACTAGCACCATTTCAGACAGATATCCCATTTATATATTCATTACCCTATGTTGCTAACGCACAAGGTATGAAAACAGAGACACAATCAGAAGGAACACACACCACCATCTACCCACCTGTCCCTAAGACCAAACATTATCATCAAACATTTTTAGGAAACTTCTTAGCTCTTAAGAGCATACAGTGTTGGAAGGCACTCTAGTATCCTAGGGTCATCCCCAGAAATCTATTGGGTTTTAGCCTCTCTGAAAGGGGACTGTGGAGAATTTTAGAGGAGCCTTGTAATCCTTATCTTCATATAGGAAAATATCAATCCGCCTGATCATGTTATTTTTCTCTTTTAATACTTTTTTAAAATGTTAGACTTAGATTAGGGGAAACTCTCTAATTAATTACCTCTTCTTTTTGACCACTTATTTGTTTATGTATTTATTTATTTATTCATTTATTATTTCGAACATTTGTATTCTGTCCTATCCGACGTCCACAGAGGGACTCAGGGCGGCTAACAAAACAGCAACCCATGGTGCCCACGACCAAAAACATAAATATGCAATTTAAATAACAATAGAACAATATAAAACAGTATAAAACATTCAACAATCAACAGTCGCCGGTCGTGTGGATCATGCTACAAGACATAAAAAAGGTTCTACAATCATCAACAATCACAGCCCTACTTGAAATCCTCATTCCTCTTCTACTTCCTGTTCAAACTACAGGAAAGGAGATTCCACTTGAACATTAGAAAGAGCTTCCCGACTGTGAGAGTTGTTCAGCAGTGGAACTCTGTGGTGGAGGCTCCTTCTTTGGAGGCTTTTAAACAGAGGCTGGATGGCCATCTGCTAGGGGTGCTTTGAATGCAATTTTACTGCTTCTTGGCAGAATGGGGTTGGACTAGATGGCCCACAAGGTCTCTTCTAACTCTATGATTCTATGACTTCTTCCTGTTGCATTCCAGAAAACACCTCTGCTCTTCACTATCACACTGTAGTCCAAGTTAAAATAGCAAAACAGTTTATTGGATATTTTAAAAAGGAGTTCAGCAAAAAACAGTAAAAACTCCAAAGTCTATACTATAAAATAGTCCATAAAGTTCAAGGTATAAAAGTAATCCAAAATCCCAAAGCTACAGGACATCCAATACAGGAATACAAGAAAACTAGGAAGGCAAGGGCAGTATAGAATCCAATACAAAAATCCAGGAACAATCTTGAAAACTTGGAAGCATGAAACAGAAACAAAGACATGGAACTAGAATTCCATTAGAAAGCTTGACTAGGACTTGACAAGAGCTGTTGTCTCAATTACCGACATTGACCAGACTGGCTAGGAAATGCTCCTGGCCTCTCTAATAAAGACATGAAATCATGCCTTCTCCCATGAGTTGCTGCTGAGCAGCCCGAAGTTTGCGAAAACTAAGTCTCCTATCAACAAACTCATTATCTAGCAACTCATTATTTTCTGCACCTGGGATTTCAGCCTCTGAACTCTTTTTCCTAGAGAACAGCTTCTCTGCATCATTTCGAATGTGACTTTCACTGACTGTTGTAAGCACAGACCGCTCATTTTCAAGACTTAAAATTTCATGATAGCTCGCAGGCCCAGAATCCCTATGACCTATGTCCACATTAACATCAGTACCTGGCACAATCATGGGCTGAACTACAAAACTTCCCACCCGTCATTTCTACTAAGGACAGATTTATATCAAGCAATCCTTAGAAGGTCAGATTTCATCCATATCTACAAGGAAGTTCAATCATGCCCATGGCTATAAGGGCTTAATGCCCTCCTGCCCATTCTCTGTTCTCACCTTCCGAAGTTTGCGGTCATTCTTGCCACGGGAGGACACAGACTCAGTCTCTGTGTACGGAGGAGGTGGTGGAGGAGGGAATCCATTGATATCATCATCTCGTTTTCTCCTGTTCCCATTTCTCCCACTTGAGGCACTTGAATGATCCAGATCCTCACGGCTGCCTGCCCGCTGCTTTCTCCGCAGGGCTTCCTCCAGGAAATGGTCATCATAGTGGGGGCGCTCCAGATCTCGCAGATCATCCCTACTTCGGCTCCGGCGCCCACCATAGTGTGGATAATCATTGCGGGAGTCTGGTGAATAGTTCCGGTGATGCCATTCCTCGTCAGAGCCCCGGCGGCCTCGGCTTCTGGGTCGGGCAGGATAAGGATCCTGATCCAAATCATCTAGAGCATCCATTGAGCGAGAACGGGGACGTCGGCCATAGCTCTGTGGTGGAGAGTCACGTCGTGCAAGTGGTAGCAGGCGGCGGTTGTCACCGCTACGCAGGCTCTCCTCTTCCACATCACTGATGGGGGACATGGCCTGCCCTCGTAGCCGCCCCAAGCCCTGTCGCAGTTCATAGCGCCGATCATCTTCATGAAGAGAGCTCAACTCGCTCATCACAGAGGCTGGAAAACAAAAACAATTGAAGATCAACAATACCTGTTCCTATAACTCTTTTAAAGCAAGCAGGATAGGCTACTGACTAGGCATGCTCTCCTCACAAACTACTGCCACCATAAGCCACTCTTGGGGAAGGAGAGGAGGGCACAAGCTTGTTTATGCATGTAAAAGTAGTGGGATCCAGCCCAAGTACCTTTCTCAAGCCTCCCATTAGGCTGGCCTGGGCGAGTGGGGTCAAAGTTGGCCAGCTCCTTCTCCATGTAGTAGAGCACCCGCATGGAGTCATCCTGTTGGTTGGCTTGAATGCGGTAGCCACTGCGCACAGCTGGAGGAGAGACATCAGGAGCAGGCTTTAGGATAGAAGGCCTATTTTTTCATTCTTAGGGATAGGGAACCATATTCCCTTCAGATGTTTGGACCAAAATTCCCATATCCTCTTAATACTAGCCAAGTTGGATAATGGAAATCACTGTCCAAAATGCCTGGAGAACCCAAAGTTCTCCACCTTATGAACAAAGCAGGTACGGATATACATATACCTCCTTGCATACGAAGAGAATAGATTCTAAGAAGCATGAACAACAAATTATCTTGCAAGTGCCTTCAACTCCCAGAAATACTAATAGCTGGTAAGCTGGCTGGGATTTCTGGGAGTTGTAGGCCCAAACAGCTAAGAACCACAGGTTAAGGACCACTGCTATATAGGGACAAGGGCCCAGCAGATCTGTTTAGGATATGCAGTTTAGTTAGTGCAACTAAAGTATGAACCACTCTGCTCCAGGGATTTGTTTGGTACTCTTTTCAATGTTCTTTTCCCACCTTCAGCCAGACACATCCATACTGACAGGTGTTTTTAAATCTGGTTAATTTTGTATGCTGTTCTAGCTGTCACTCCTGTCTACTTTTGGCTTCTCTTTTGATGAGGTTTCCTCTTTAATTCTTTTGATGTTGCTTATTTTAGACGTCTTGTGTATCCCCAAGATAGAAAAGAAAAATAAAACTGACTCAAGTAAGGATCTGCTCATATGATGATGTCTGGGTGAGTGTTTTCATTCTGAGCACTGCAGATCTATAAAATCTTGCTCACCCAATAAAATGGCCAGAAGTGACTGAATTCTTAAATCAGGGAAGCAGGACTTTCCCCAGGTCCAATAAATGTGGGGTAACGTCCAGCTTTGGCATCCATACTGCTATAATGTTCACTCTACCCATCTAAGAAGGATTAAACTCTCTACTTCCAGACCTGCATGTTCCTAATAAAAATGAAATAATGCACTAGAGCCCAAAAAGGTATCTTCCCATACTGCCATGATATAAATATAAATTCAGAAGCACAGGCTTTGTTGTTCACTGAGAAATCACTACAGGGGAGGCTTGACAAAATTCTGGGATGTGTATGGTCCCTAAGGCTGGTGTTTTCCCCTTCCTTTGCTTCCTGGCAAAAAAGATGAATTGAATTTCCTGAAAGGCTTACAGAACAGCAATTCATTTTAAATGGTGGTCCACCCTCTTGTTACATCATGAATAGACTACTGCAATGCACTCTATGTGTTACCTTTGAAGACTGTTTGGAATCTTCCAGTGGTCCAACGGGCTGCAGTCACATTGCTCACTGGAGCAGTGAATACAACCCCCCTGTTAGGCCAGCTTCACTGGTTGCCAGCCTGCTACCAAGCACAATCCGAAGTGCTGGCTTTAGCCTATAAAGCTCTAAACAGTTCCAGCCCTGCTTACCTCTCCAAACCTATCTCTCTTTATGACCCACCTCGGAAGTTAAGATAATCATAGAATCATAGAGTTGGAAGAGACCTCATGGGCTATCCAGTCCAACCCCCTGCCAAGAAGCAGGAATATTGCATTCAAAGCACCCCTGACAGATGGCCATCCAGCCTCTGTTTAAAAGCTTCCAAAGAAGGAACCTCCACCACACTCCATGGCAGAGAGTGAGGCCCTGCTCTAGGGAGGCCCTGCTCTTAATCTCACCACCTTCACAAGCACGATTGGTGGGGACAAGAGACAGGACCTTCTCAATGGTGGCCCTTCATCAATGGAACTCCCTCCCTAGTGACATCACGTCAGCTCCCTCCCTCCTGTCTTTCAGGAAGAAGCTCAAGACATGGCCATGGGACGAAACATATAGTGCAATAAGGATAACGGACTAATGGAATTGACAACTGAACAGGTCTTGGACTACGTGATTTTAATTAATGTTTAATTGTATGGTTTTAATTATGTATGTATGTATGTATGTATGTATGTATTGTTGTAAAGCTGCCCTGAGTGCCCTTTTAGGGTGTGAAGGGTGGGATACAAATATGTGAAGTAAATAAATAAAACAGGCAACAGAGAGTCCTGCACTTTGCAGCAGTAGCAATCATGTGCACATGGGACAGAGAGTGGAAAGATGAGAGGAAAGTGAGCATCAGGGTAGAAAGGAGAGACTGGGTCTTATGTGCACAGCACCTGCAGCAGCCCATCCCCCCTTTGCTGTGAATCAACAGCTTCTTCTCCCGTAGCAGAGGAGCCCACAGAACAGCTTCTGCCATAGTCCTATTGTGAGACTACCAGCCAAGAGGAAACATCCCAAAGTATTTTACTTGTTTGGTATTATTTTTTATCCACATAGAATCATGGAGTTGGAAGAGACCACATGGGCCATGTAGTCCAGTGGTTCCCAACCTTTTTTGGACCAGGGACCACTCTCCAACATTAGTACCAAAAGGGTTACAAATCAGTTTTAGGTCAATTTTAGATTCAATTTGGTTATTTGGGGTGCTAATTCAGAAAATTGCATTGGATATACAGTAATACATCAGCTCTAGTTTCTGATAAAGAACATATGCAGTAGTCACCACCTGCTTGCCCACAGAAAACCATATTTAATAACCTCGAGCTGATGTGGTAGTAGTAATCGTTTGTGGGCTGTCAGACTATCCCTTCCTGACATCCCCGTTGCCTCGGCACTATAAGAGGGTTTCACGAGACCCGTTGCTCTCATTACCGTGTGGTTTTGAGGCAACAGTGCAGTAATGATGAGGCCACAGACCATATTTTTGTTCTTGCGGACCACTGGTTGTCCACGGACCACAGGTTGGGAACCACTGATCTAGTCCAACCCATGCCATGCAGTTGGTTGACTCCATGGATTCTGAGCCTTTGTATATGAAAGGCCCAGTGTAGAGGCAGTCCTTGCTTTAAATTTAAAAAGCAAATCACCAAGCAATTTTGAGTCTGTACAGTAGAGGGAAGCAACAATCTTCATCTTTTCCACTCTCAAATCATCAGTTCCTTTGTAAGTGCAAATAGCTAGCTCAATCAAAAGTCCAGGAAAGTGATCGGTTAATGTGATGCAATGTGATCAGTATGGCATGTTCATATACTTCAGTCAGATAACCCAAAGGTGAATAATCAATTTGAAAATCTTTCCCCCACCGAGCATGTCAGATCAGCCAAAGGGGCAACAGGCATTTTACAAATTGTTTACTGTTTTCATTTGTAGGTGCAGAAACAGCAAAGACATTCACAGTTCCATACGCGCGTTTCTTACCAGCACTATCCGAATCCCTCAGCAGAGGCACCTGTGAGCTGTGTCCACCAACTGCAAGGCAATAAATAATAAGAACTGTTAGGGGTGACCCCATTATGTTTGGGAGACAAACAACAATGCCTTCAGAAGTATACTGGATCTTTGCATCCCCAGGTTCAAGTTGTTAATGAGCTGTTAATCTAGATAGGTGACTTTAGGCTAGTCAGTTTCTTTGAGCCTGCTCTAATTCACAGGGATGTTGTGAATTAGAACAGGCTTGTGAGGATAAAGGTGGTAAAGGAAAAGAACTAAATACACCACCTGATGCTTACTGAATAAAAGACCATATATAAATGTAACTTCTAAAAAAGTTATTACCCAAATCCTACATTCCTGGATCCTGAAAACTAACCAGAACCTTCATGATGTGCTTGGAACTCAAAGACCAAGAATTCTACATTGAAAAACTATTAGAAATGACAACCTTCTTCAAGCTTTCTCAAGTAATATTTATCTATGATCCTGTTCCTTACTGTTTGTACGTATGTTCTGGTATGCAGCTTCTATTACACTATGGTTCCTGAGAAATTATAAAAGGGACTGCAGACCACATGATCAAAGACAGACTAATTATGTTATGAATTACTCTTTTTCATGTATAATGTGGCATTGAATTTTGCCAAACTGTAAAATGCTCTGAGTTCCCCTAGGATAGAAATAAATTAAATACATAAATAAATAAATATTTTTTAGACTACTTCAGACTTCAGATCACACACTTGCTTACTATTTTGATGTAAGAGATGTCCTGGCCAGATGGCACAGAAAATTATCTCAAACATATCTAAAACTGGACTGATAAGTTTTGTACCTGTGTATGCTGAACACATGAAGGTTGTGAGTATACGAAATATGTTATTTTTTATCAAGTCTACTTCATTTTTGTCTCTTGAGTGCAAGACATAAAACAAGTTGTTTTATGGATTAGTATGTATTTTTGGGCACCGAAACACTTCTGAAGCACTGCTATTTTTATGCACTAGCAAAATCAGGAATAACAGGTTATTCAGTCTAACAACTGAAACTACTGCCTGTCATAATTATATCTGGTTGTACATCACAAGAGAAGATTCTACTAAAAGAGTTTTGGCTCTTCTCTGAAAGGTCATGCTTTTCTAAAAAGTTTTGATTTCCAAAAGGTGTTTTCCAAAAGGTTATAAATGCCATTTTCAAATAACCAAACCCTTTTACTAAGCTTCTTCTAAGAGTTGGAGGAGGTCTTGTAGGCCATCAAATACAAACTCCTGCTTCATGCAGGAAATCCTGGTGCAGCCAACAAAAGGCTGCACACCACATATTTGGAGATATCTAGTGAAAGACAGATGAGTCCTGCCAACTTTGGTTTGTGGTAGCCTCAAGGTTATTAAATAGAGGCTGGACAGCCATCTCTCAGGAGTACTTTGTGTATTCTCGCATAATGGGGTTGGGTTGCATGGCCTTTGTGGTCTCTTCCAACTCAGTTTCTCTTCTATACCTCATATATCTTTTCAATAACTGGTTCCACCAGTCAGTTGATCAAATATGTTCATTATTGTGTTCAGCAAGGAAATAACTATACAAAGAGTTCAAGAATGCACAAAAATGGAGAACTGCTTTTATCATAAGGCAGAGAGACACTCCAATAAGATCTCAACAGTGCTAGATCTTTGGCTAGCAGTCTTTTAGAACTTCCAATTCAAACCATAAAAGCCTGAACCCGGTCAAGAAAGTCACATACCTGAGCTGGCCCTGTCATAATCCACTCCATAACCATTGTACATAGGAGGCACTGGGCCCATGGGAACCACCGTGGTTTGGGGGGCTAGCTTCAACTGATTGCTGGATGCATAGATGCTTGGTGCATAAACACTGGGAACTCCGGAAGTTGCAGCTTTTCCTGCAACATAGACTGGAGGGAGAGAAAGATGTGTTAGGCAAGAGTAAATAATAAGACGAGGAAACAGGGGTGTTCTTAACCAGATAATCAGTGTGCTCTTAGGCGAACTTTCAAAAAAATTACAATCAGTGTAAACAATTGTTTTGCTCTCATGGAAATACACATGTGCAAGGACAACATCAATCCTCTTCTACAGGCACATAACAATATACTTTTTACAAATGATCAAAATCATGTTGTCCCTTTTTACTTTTGTGCATTTAGAAAATTGAATATCTTGCACAACCCCAAGGTATATGAAGCTACTTTGGACTTTAACAATGTTCTTTAAGATTGTTATAAGGGTGCTTGCCAAAGGTGCACAACTGCTTATGCGAAAAAAATCCAAACATTTTGACTAAACAAATATGCATTATCTTGTGAGCCACTGTCCAGTTTTAGGCTACATCTACACTGCCAAATAATCCAGTTCAAAGCAAACAATCTATATTCAGAACCTGGATTATATGACAGCGTAGTATTAGTCCCCTGTGGCACAATGGTTTAAACCCTTGTGTCAACAGGACAGCTGATTGAAAGGTCAGTGATTTGAATCTCGAGAGAGAGGGGTGAGCTCCCGACTGTCAGCTCCAGCTTCTTATGAGAGAAGCCTCACACAGGATGACAAAATATCCAAGCATTCTCTGGGCAATGTCCTTATAGACAGTAAATTTTCTCACACCAAAAGCAACTTGCAGTTTTTCAAGTTGTCCTCACACACACAGTCATTATTAGTCATTTTGTAGGACAAGGAACCCAGCTGGCTCCGAGAGCGAGACTTACGTGCTTCTGGGCAGCAGCACTTCTCGGGGCAGCAGGGGCATCGGACATAGCAGCAGCAGGTGTGAGGGCAGCACTGGCACCAGCAGATCCCGAAGAGCAGCAAAATCAGAAAGAACCCCAGCACCACCAAGACGACAAAGACCCAGTCTGAGAGGAAAGAGGAGAAGGAGGGAACAAACCCTTTGAGACAAAGGCAATGACTCAGGTTCCAACTATATAAAAAGGTGTTGGGCAAGCTTAGCAACTTCTACAACAAAAAAGAGTCTCTGTTGTAATACCATGGGCCCCTAACCAAGTTACCTGGGGGTACTTTCATGCCCTGGGATATTCCAGGAGCTATATGGGCAACTGAATAATAAAACAAAACAAAAACACAAAGTAACTTGGAGTCTAATTAAAAGATAAACTGTTGCATGTAGAACCCTTAAGGAGCAACAATTTATTCTCTCTCTTTTTAGGCCAGAAATGGGTCAGGCTGGGGATTTTGTGGTGCTGAAGGCTAAAAAAAAGTCCTTAGAGCCATATATGTGACCAGGGCCACAATACAGTCACCCATGCCTTAAATATTGTCATTAAAGGACTCTCACTATAAGGCACTTGGACATCTTGCTCTGCACTCAGCTCCTGCTGTTCCAGGATCCTGACATACACTTAGAAACCAACCCTTGGACTCCAGTAGGCTTCTACAGAATACATTCTTACTGGATCCATTAACTGACGCCTTCTCTTTCTATAGCCTGCATCTTGCTTTAGTTCACTGCACTGCATTTAAGATTATTCTGAGGAGACAAAGTCCATTCTAGAAATCCTGTGTCAATATTAAACCTAAAGATGATCTCTAAGATCCTCTGAGGAGGCTCTTCTCTCGCTCCCACTCTTTTCTCAAGCATGGTTGGTGGGGACGAGGGAGAGGGCCTTCTGAGTGGTGCCCCCTCGGCTCTCCTTGTCCATCTTCTGCAAAGATCTAAAGACGTGGATGCTCCGCTGTGCTTTTGACTAGACAACTCCAAAGATAGCTTGGCCCCAATTAGGACCCAAAATCTTGTCGTCACACTTTACTATTGTTCTGCACCCAAAGTTATAATGCTCTGTCTTATACTGCCCTCTATCCCTACTGCTGCCGTATTACCTATGTGTCTTTTATCCATCAGCCCTATCTTCACAATTGTTTTTGCACCAGTCCACCCACCGGTGCCCAGAAACTGATGATTATCGCAGAACTCATTGGTTATTAGTTTGATGTTTTGCTTTTATATTTTGTTATAATGTTGTTGTTTTATTCTCTTTTATGTTGTTGTTTATATATTTTAATGTGCTATAGTTTAACATGTTGATAGGGCTCATCCCCAAGTACAATGTTTTTAAACTGTATTTTATGTTGCTGGGGGCATCGAATTGTACCGACTGTAAACCGCCTAGAGTTGCCTTCATGTTGAGAAAGGCAGTATATAAATATGGTAAATAAATAAATAAATGGGCTGCCTCAAGTCCCTTCAGGGAGATGGGAGGTGGGGTGCAAAAATAAAGGTGTTGTTGTTATTTGAAACACAACAAGATGAGTCCACAGCAGACAAGATCACTCTGCTGGCTGTTGTATTGGATCACATGTCAGATACTTCCCAAGTGTCTAGGACTGTGCGATGTATCAGCGAATAATGCGTGCAGATCCCAGTAAGGTGTTCTTCTACAGCTGGCAGATGGTAATCTTGTCAACACCGATTGTGTTTAAGTGCAGGCCAAGCTCTTTAGGCATTGTACCCAGTGTGCCGATCACCACTGGAACCACTTTATTGGCTTGTGCCAAAGTATTTGTTGTTGTTATTGTTAAACATAAAATAAATAAGTCAGATATGAAATTGTGAACTTTCTGTATGCCGTGAACAGGTTTCACATTCAAGCTAATGTTGGCCTAGCCCTATTCTACTTTTCTCCATGATAGATGAGGCTACATAGGTGTAGTCAGCTGAAGTCATCAGTTTTTAGATTATTTTTCAGAGGCCAGTGAAGTGAAAGTTTCCCATTTACATTCTGGCATCTTTTATGGGGTGGAAAAGAGATAATTGTAAAAGCAAAAGGGATGACAGGAAATGCACAATCAAAACATAGTACACATATGGTGTTCTTTATAGCCTGTATCCAGGGTCTCTTTAATGCATTTCCACCATGAGGCTGCATTGTCAACCAAGAAACAAAAAACCAAGAGGGAGAGTCTGTATGAAAATATACAGAGGGATTTGGGCACTCTTTAGTAATACAGTTTTTACAGATCACTGAATGTCAGTGTGCATTTTAAAGAGAAGGGTCTCATATTGTTAGAGCCATACAGTTACGGCAGGAGATACGAGTCTGATTCTAGATAGGTGGACCAGAATCTATATTGTACTGTACCGGAATGAGTATGAGGTATAAAGGACTCAGAAAAAGCAACATATCTGCTGTTTTGGTCTACATAAGTGCCTTCAATCACCTATTGCCCACTATATGTGTTAAGAATACATCTGCCATTTTTCCAGACAGCAATGATCAACCGCAGCATGCACTATTTACTATTCAAATAGAGAATACCACAGTATAAACCAGGGGTCCCCAAACTAAGACCTGTGGGCTGGATGCGGCCCTCCAGGGTCACTGATCTGGCCCCTGCCTTAAACTTGCAAGCTTGAAGGCACACAACAACAATTCTCATTAACTTAACTATCTCATCAGTCAAACGCAGGTCCACACTTCCCATAGAAATACTAGTAAATATATGTTGGCTAAACTTGTTCTTCATTTTAAATATTGTATTGTTTTTTCATGGTTTTTTGCACTACAAATAAAATATGTGCAATGTTGACAGGTTGGTTGACAGTTCGGAGCCTGGGCCAGGATGAGCGCCTGACGTTTAGCCCAGTTTATGCCTACCTAGCAGTTTGAAACAAATGTGAGTAGATACATAGGAACCGCATTAAAGCAGGAAGATCTTTTAGACACGGTGTTTGGATCAGAAAAAGAAGGAAGTTTATGAACAAAGAAAGCTCTTCGGCAAGGAGATGGAGCGGCAGCACCCCCTGTGGCCGAAACCGGGCACAGCCTCCAAAGATGCTGAAAGATGGAAAAGCCTATATATATATACCACTATCTGTTGTCTGTCTTGCCATTGTATAATCAGCATTGAATGTTTGTCGTATATGTATTCTGTGATTCGACTTGAGTCCCCTTTGGGATGAGAAGGGCGGAATATAAATATTGTAAATAAATAAATACCACCAAGTGAGAGAGTATCAGTACAGTATTTCATTAGCACAATCTCTTTCTTTCAGACAGAGAACAAGAATATATGATGATAGATTAACTGTGTATGACTCAAGTGCGGCTTTTTAAAAAGCACAACATGTGCTACAAACCCTAGTCCAATACATTGGGGGAGGGGGGGGGACCGACGCCTTCCCAACATTTGTATCTGTGTCACACTGTGACTGTCTGCTTTTGTTGTTTAATAGTATCCCCTAGAAATATGATGTAAATAAAAGACCAAACATTATGTTTCCAATTCAGCCACAAGCTGTTCGGCACCCTAAATCATACGGTTACTGTTCTTAAGCTCAAAGGAGCTGTTTGGAGTGGGGAAAGAATAAGGAGGGAGAACAGATCTGGAAAAATTAGTCTGTTGCAACGACAACACAATAGGAACAGAAGCTCTGAAGAGGGAGACAAAGAGAAGAAAGACATTTTGGAACCATTTCTAAACCAAAACACTCCTACTTCTAACCTTGAGAGATGCAGGAAATAGAAGAATTAAAGCACCAGTACAATTCCCATTTCCTCCCAGCTCCCTTCCCCTAGAAAGAGAGGATGGAAGAAAAAGCAATGCCAGTACCTTCCATATGCCCTATCTGAAAGCCTGGCAAAAGCTCTGAGACACCGGAGGATTTTCCTACAGAACAGAAAAAAACACAGGACAAAAAGTTACTAAATACAGCTGGCTGCCCTTGAGACAGCCACTTCTGGGCCAGGCACATTTTTCAGCAGAGGTTATAGTGTCAGTCAACTTAGTGGGGTCCCATAATGGTAGAAGCTGCCTCAGGAAAGGCAACACAGCGAACCAAGATTGTGAAAGCAGATTTTATTTTCTGGTTCTGAGCAACAATGCATGTAGAGTCCCAGTTTCTGTGCAGCTTGGCTTTCGCTCCTTCATTTTCCTCTTTTTGTTTCTTTGTTTTATCTGCCTCCTTTTCTCATTTAGCTGGTTTTTGCTGCTATTGTTCTTGTTGCTTCCCAGTTGCCATCTCTATTTACCGCTTGAGAGTAACTTTGTGTAGGTGTCTGTCAACTCTTTTAGCAAAGATCTAACTTTTTGAAAAGCTGGGGAACTAACAGAGTTACGCACAATCAGACTAGTAATACTGCAGGCTAATAGCTCTTAAAGGTTTTGGAAGTCTGTCCAACAAATCCCAGTATTGCTCCTTTGCAGATCTTGTTTTGTGATAGAACTGCATAATAAAGCAAGGTGAAAATTAATCAAAGGAATCTGAAAGAAACATCACACACAAGCTGACACCGAATATGTTTAGACAGAACATATGCCAACACTGAATTGTTGCTCTCGTGTGCATTCAAGGCAACTCCAAATTATGACACTATCTTAAGGATTTCTTGGTGTGACTTAGTCAAGGGAGGTGTGCCTTTCCACTCCTCTGAGACAGAGAGAGTGTGACTTGCACAGTATCACTTTGTGGGTTTTCATGGCTGAGATTGTCTCTTGGAGTCCTAGTGCAATACTTATACAATTACACTACACTATTGGGCTGTGGCGCAGCTAGATAGTAGCCAGCTGCATTAAATCACTACTGACCTAGAGGTCATGAGTTCAAAGCCAGCCCGGGTCAGAGTAAGCTCCTGACCATTAATAGTCTAGCTTGCTGTTGACCTATGCAGCCCGAAAGACAGTTGCATCTGTCAAGTAGGAAATTTAGGTACCGCTTTATGGAGGGAGGCTAATTTAACTAATTTACGACACCATAAAACCTTCCAGCAACGTGCAGAAGAATGAGGAAGTACTCCATCAAAGGATCCAGTGTCACAAGTGGACAGTGAAGTGGCAGCTCCCCATGTGGCCATACCCGAGCATGCCCTCATGAAGCCGGAAAAAGCTGGAATGTTAAATTGCCTTTGTGGCTGTCTATATATGTTATATGTCTAAATGGCACTGAATGTTTGCCATGTATATATGCACTGTAATCCACCCTGAGCCCCTGCGAGATGAAAAGTGTGGAATGTAAATACTGTAAATAAATAAATAAATAAACTCTCTCTTACACACTGAATACAATGGAGGAAGCATATTCCTACAGTATCAGCTTTGAACTGGGTTATCTGAGTCCACACTGCCATATATTCCAGTTCAAAGCAGATAATGTGGGATTTTATTCAGCTGTGTGGAAGGGACCCCAGTCTCTCAGTCAGTCAGCCTTCATGATCCATCAGAGCAGTATCCAACCACAATTTCTACACGTTCTGTGTATTGGGTCTGATTCATACATAAATATTCAGCATGAAAACCACCAAGCAACAGCAGAAGTTCTGTTTTCAGCAGCTAATCTGTGTGGGGTTGTTCACCTACACAAGCTACAATTTCTGCAACCAAGAAGTGAAGAAAATGCATGTGTTAACATGCCCTAACTTAAGCCAAGTTAAGCCAGCAAAGAAAACACAAAGATAAGAAGCAACATGGTTTCCGTCCATCTGTTTTTGCCCGAGTGACTGAGTGCCTGACACAAAGAGAGAATTCCAGGCATGTGCACCCTATGCAGCTGAATGTTTATAAGAATATTTCCTTCCCCATAAGCAGCTGACATTTTTCAGAACAATTAGTTCTGGCACAGCCAGGCACAACATTCACTGCAGTCTCCAGCAAAGAGGTGGGAATCTGGTTTCTGGCAGAAAAAGAGAAAAGAAAAACAAACAAAAAAAAGAGGACAAGAAATAGCCGATATGGAATCCTACTATCAGGAAGGGAAACTGGGATCCACATATTCAGCAACTTGAAACAGAAGATCTAAACAAGTATATTGCAACCTGGCTGTCTGCATCAAGGCTGCCCTAAGACAGCTATGTGTCTGTCTTCTCTGCTCCCTCTAGCGGCAGGAATTCCCAGACTCCTCCAGAGAAATGTTCATGTCAACAACATAACAGAATGGGAAAGGAATCAGATCACAGACTAAAAACTAATTACGTGCAAGTCAGGAAACATCGGCCAAGGTGATCAGCCATTGTGCAATGGGTTGAACCCTTGTGCTGGCAGGACTGAAGACCGACAGGTCGGAGATTTAAATCTGGGGAGAGCAGGTTGGGCTCCCTCTGTCAGCTCCAGCTTCCCCTGCGGGGACATGAGAGAAGCCTCCCACAAGGATGGTAAAACATCAAAACATTCGGGCATCCCCTGGGCAACATCCTTGCAGACAGCCAATTCTTTCACGCCAGAAGCAACTTGCAGTTTCTCAAGTTGCTCCTGACACAGGGGGGAAAAAAGTCAACCTGCTCAGCAATCCAACTAGACCAGAGGTGGAAAGTATACAGCCATGTATGGTCTACCTAGCAACCCGTTGCAGCCCCTTAGTCTCCCAAAATCACTTCTCAAATGGAGACTCTCACTCAAGAATATTCCACAAGGAATCTCCAATTTGTAGTTTTACCTCTCTGTACATTTTGCACTTTACCCATTTCCCTGGCCCCCATGAGTTATTTTGCACTAGCCCCTGCCCGGTCATCCCAATTGCCTATAACCTTTCTGAAATTTCAGTCCTAAGAGTTAATCTTGACACAAAGAATAAGGTGGGATTGGTTTTAATGTATATGTGCCGTGTTGATAATTTTAAGCCTATGTTTTGCTTACTCTGTATGTTTTTGTGTTTTTTTACAATTTGGAAACCACCCTGAGTCCCCTAGGGGAGATAGAGCGGTATATAAATAAAGTTTTATTTATTATTATTTGAAACACAACAAGATGAGTCTACTGCAGACACTCTTCTAGCTGTTGTATTGGATCACATGCCGGACACTTCGCAAGTGTCTAGGACTGTGTGATGTATCGGCGAATAATGCGTGCAGATCCCAGTAAGGTGGCCTTTTGCAGCTGGCAAATGGTAATCTTGTTAGTGCCGATTATGTTTAAGTGCAGGCCAAGGTCTTTAGGCACTGCACCCATTATTATTATTATTATTATTATTATTATTATTATTATTATTATTATTATTGGCTCACCCAATAGCCCATAGCATGGTAGATACATCTGTCAGATTATCTATGGTTGCCCATCTCTGGGCGAACACAAAATCCTATCATAGTCAGTGTACATATCAATTACTGGTGAATGGGTTCAGGAACTGGGGATTCGTGCTTTTGTACTTATGTTCTGTATGTCACCTCCAATACTTACTTTTGTATTGGAGGTGACATACAGAACATACAGAACATAATCAATGGGTTGATCACTATATGAAAAGACTTCCAGTTAAATTTTGAGTCTGGTCCAATGGCTCTTAAGCTCACAAGCAAAAAATGAAGCAAGCAGAATTGCACTTTTTTTTTTACTTAACATACAGTAGGCAATTATATATTGCCTCCAAACAAGGAGGTTAGTTAATAGACAAGGATATATGTTCTCATTAAGTAAGCTAATATTTCTTTTCTTTTCATTTAAAGCAAATTCCACATTCTGTTTTAGATACTCAACGTCTGTAAACAAATGTCTATTTTTACCTGATGCAGACAACAAATGAAATGCACAGGCTGGACGCCAAGCACCAATAGAGAACTTCCTTCAAAGATCTCAGGAAAGAGGGATCATTCCGCAACTTTGCTATCTAAGAAAATCTAAACTGAAGATGCAAGGGCTAAATCTGGTCCTTTCACATGATGTTTTGTTTGCAGCCTGCTCATAATTTGAGGCTGCAGACTTACAGAAGGATCCAGGTTCAATACATTATGTCTCCACTGATATATTTTCCAAATGTACCAAACAATTTGGTTATTCTCAGCATGGAAAACATTACTTTTGTACTACAGCTCTAAGTATTTTTGTTCCTGTGCAATCTGGGGGATTCTCAAAAAATAGCCTCAAAAAACTATTTGAGGCTATTAAGCATGAAATGTTTGAGTGCCTTGCATAATTCTTTGCTTTTGCACATCTTGCAGAAAAGTCACCAAACTCTACAAAACCAGTCATATGCAAGTTTGCTTAAGTCACAACTAGCAAGAACAACATTTGTTAAAAACAGAACTGAGGACATAATTCCTATGACCAAGACTAATGTTGTAGAAAAAGGCACGTGACAGTGCCCCGAAAAAGAAGGAAACATCACAATACCATTTTCCACTCCGCTTAGAACTGGTTCTGCCACTGCAATATTAGCTTTGTGCACATATACACATGTACAGACACAGCCTACAAAGAAAGAGCCCTGTGTACATAGCAAACAAAGCTCAGACCTGCACTTGGCTGTAATCCAGAGAGCCTTACTTTGTCCTCCAAACTGAAACATGGTGGGTGTACTTTGAATGTCTAAAATAAGAGTATAAGAAGGCACATGGAAATGGCATATTTGCATATACCTATGGGTGAATGGAGTTGGACAAACCCAGGGTGGGGCTAAGGTGTGGAAACATGGCTACAGCCATAAAAACCTAGGCATAACACAATGGGTTCGATGTGCCTGGCAATCATGCTGTAGAACATATCTGCATGGATCAGCTGGTGCTCAGCAATGACACATGTTTATCTGCTACTCAGGATTAATCTATCTATGCACATACTTCTGGGCAGCGCATGGGATGAGAAATACCTTGTTTCTTAATTCAGTGTGTGTATATGCCTCACCCTGAAACACAATTTTACACTTGGAATAATTTTATTTGTTTTTTCAAAAAAATCAATTGCATCTAGCAAGACTGACGTCTCACCATCCCTGAGCAAGTTATATAATTGATTGCAGCAGTGCAGGCCACAAGTAGGAGGAAATTACAATTCTGAGTTGCTGTGAGGTTTGCGGGCTGTATGGCCATGTTCCAGAAGCATTATCTCCTGACATTTCGCCCACATCTATAATAGGTATCCTCAGAGGTTGGGGGTCTATTGGAAACTAAGCAAGGGAGGTTTATATATCTATGGAACAATGTCCAGGGTGGGAGAATGAACTTTTGTCTGTTGGAGACAAGTGTGTGCAATGATTTGCATTGCAAAGTCTTGCAGCTTCAAGGCCTGGCTGATTCCTGCATAGGGAATACTTTGTTGGAAGGTGATTAGCTGGCCCTGATTGTTTCTTGCATAGAATTCCCATTTTCAGAGTGTTGTTCTTTATTTATTGTCCTAATTTTAGAGTTCTTAAAATACTGGTAGTTAGATTTCGTTCATTTTCATTTACAATTCTGAATGCTCATACATTCAGCACCATATTTACAAAACAAATCCTGCAAACAGGAAATGTACAGACCATGGAGAAAGTTTCTAACCCAGCCTACTCCCTGCTATACTGGCTTTCTTCTTTCAGCACTTTCATTTTATTTTAAAACAATCAGTGAAACCATTGAAAAAGCTTTCCTGAACCTAAAAAAGAAGGAAATTCTACCACCTAATCCTATTCTGGGTACATCAAAACACATTTGTTTCCCTTGAGTAATTGAACCTCGGAAAATAATAATAAACAGCACCAGTTTTGCAGGGCAAATTAATGTGGATTCATTTGCTTTTGGAGGCTAGCCTGGTAGCCCCTGCTAAACTTGTAAGAGAATACCCTCTCCAATACAGTCTCCCCAGGGATGCAAGGAAAATCCCCTGACCTCAGCATTAAGGCGTATGTGTGAAATAGGAGTCTTGTGACTTACCCAATACAATGAGCTCAGCATAGGCTTCGTTATTGCCTTGTAAATCTTGAGAAGAGGTCACAGTGCAGTAGTAGACCCCGCTGTCTCCCCAAGCTGTCTGTTCTATACTGAGGTCAGCATCTTTTCGAAGATGGAGGAAAAGGCAAAAAGAAAAATGACAACTTAGATATGGAAAAACTCCAATACACTATATGTATATGTTGAATCTATCACGCACAGTCCTCCACATCCTTCGTGAATACAAAGTTATGCAAGGAAACTTTCAACATTTTATTCTTAGCAAAAGAAACTTTGATATTGTTCTTGACAAAATACAATTCTTCCAACAGTTGTTATAGAAAGAGTAGAAAATCTAAAACTTACTACTGAAAATAATGCCGGACTCCAAAGCCTATCGGCACATTCAGCATTGCCAATAATCAGATATGTCAACTGTAATCCAACAACATCTTGAGAACTGTAGGTTTTTCACCCATATATTGTAATTTTCACTGAGTTGTCACTTCCACAAGTGCAGTTCCCCATGTTATAACTCTCAAAACATAGCGGTGCTAACTTACCTTTGTCCTGGAAATCAATAAACATTATAACAAACTCGAATCAAGGAATATGAAAGGCACTACAGACTAATTCAACCAGAGAAGTCAGACATAGCAGAGCACTTGATGAACCATCCTGGACAAAACATATTATTTGAGAACACAGAAATGCTGGACCACTCTAACAACCACCATATCAGATAACACAGAGAAGCCATTGAAATCCACAAGCACATGGACAATTTCAACAGAAAGGAAGAAACCAAGAAAATGAACAAAATCTGGCTACCAGTATTTAAAACCTCTAAAATCAGGACAGTAAATAAAGAAAAACACTCAAAAATTGGGAATTCCAGACAAGAATCAATCAGGGCCAATGAACACCAAGGGTTCCTCCAGACAGGAAGCAGCCAGGCTTTAAAGCTGCAATGCCATTCAATGCTAATCAAGGTGGCCAATTGCAACATTCACACTTGCCTCAAGCAGACAAGAGTTCTTTCTCCCACCCTGGACATTCCACAGATATATAAACCTTACCTGCCTAGTTTCCAAACAGACCTCACAACTGCTGAGGTTGCCTGCCATAGATGTGGGTGAAAGGTCAGGAAAGAATGCTTCTGGCACATGACCATACAGCCCGGAAAACTCACAGCAGCCCAATTATAACAAACTGTAAAGTACTATTCATGGTACAAAGAGAAGCTATTAAGACTGTCAACCAATTGTTGGTACCTATTTTTAACCAAAGAAATGTCTTTACTTTTTGAACACGTAAACACACTGAACAGATAGGCCTTTTGAGAACTTGAAGACTATAGGAGTAATCTGAAATTTAATGAATGCTACATTGTTACACGAAAAGGTTATCTTTTGTGTTTTCCTCTTCCTATTAAAGGGTCATACCAGAACAAATATGGGCTCACAACCAAGACTGCCCTTTACTCACAGCTCCTCACCAATTAGGAATTGCCCTTGCCAAGAAAACTGACCCCCAAATTAATTCAGTAACAAAGGCCACCATCCTGTTATCACTTACATGTAAAGAACAACAACAGAACTCTGGAAAGGCTTGTTGCTAATACTGAGATGCACACTTACTAGTTGTGGCAGAGATGGGAATGTACCTCCCCCTCCCCCCAAAGGTGTTGTTCGGATATATCTTCAAGCATTTCTCAAAATTGGTCATACTGACCAAGGCTATCTAATATCATGATTCTCTACCTCCCCTAGACTAAAGTTTAAAGACCCGATAGCAAGATATGAGAGGGGCCAGAGCATGAAGGAGCTCATGTGGGGTGCACAATTTGGAAAATATAATATGTGTTTTGAGACTCCATGCACAGTGTTCAACTAGAGTCTCCAGGAAAGGATTTTCCCCCTATTCCCACTTCCTCATATGTGATCCTTTCTATGACACAAAAATTCCTCATTTGTGGCATAAACCCTACTTTTAATACCAAGTAGCATTTGAGTAACTTGGCTATTCAAACCAAAAGGATATTGAAGATTCGGAACAGCCCCACAACCTTTGCAAAAGAGAGAGATTGGGGAATAAAAGCTTCCAATCCTTGTGGATATAATAAATCTGATATTATCGTGGCAGTTTTATCTGGAGACATTAGAAACCAGTAGAGAACTAGGTATTTATTTATTTATTTATTTATTTATTTATTTGCAATATTTCGATACCGCTTTTGTCACCCCGAGGGGGACTCAAAGCGGTTTACACATAGGTAATGGCAAAATTCAATGCTAGTACAAACAATTACAATTATACAATTGTATAATTATACAATTATACAATTAATTTTGGTTGGTAGACCAACCAAAACAATTAACAATGCAGGTGGATCAAAAATTTTTGCCTCCTGCACCATAAAAATGTTATGAACATATAACAGCAGATGTTGCTAAAGATCATAGCCTGAACTGTCCGTTGCACAAAACTACCATTCAATATAGGTAAAGGTAAAGGTTTTCCTTTGACATTAAGTCCAGTCATGTCCAACTCTGGGGGTTGGTGCTCATCTCCATTTCTAAGCCAAAGAGCCCGTGTTGTCCATAGATGCCTCCAAGGTCATGTGGCCAGCATGACTGCATGGAGTACCGTTACCTTCCCGCGAAATCATTACCTATTGATCTACTCACATTCGCATGTTTTTGAACTGCTAGGTTGGCAGAAACTCTGGCTAACAGCGAGAGCTCACCCTGCTCCCCGGTTTTGAACCGGCAACCTTTCAGGCAGTAAGTTCAGCAGCTCAGCGGTTTAACCCACTGCACCACCGGGGACTCCCATTCAACATAGTAACCATCAATTTGTACACATTTGCGCCATCCTTTAACCCAGGCATCAAAACCATTTTGGAAAAATGCAGGGTTTTGCTTCGTGACCCATGATTTTAAAGCTGTTTTAATGTCATTCAGGTCATTGAATCTGAAACCATGTTGGTTGTCTTTCAGAGGTCCAAACAGGTAAAAGTCAGAAGGGGCCAAATCATAAACATTCTTCAAGCTATTATGGATATCCTTAGGTGCACAACCTTCTTTCGCCTAAAATTCAATGACAACTCTTTCTTTTAACTTCAAATTCATGGTTCGAATCAGTAAATGGGAAAAAGAAAAGACTATCAGTAGAATAAGGTTACCTCTAGCCCATCATCAAGTTGCTGGGAAAGAAATAAAAGTTAGAGCGAAGAAGGTATTACTTTTAAACACACCTTTGTATTACATTTCCTCATACCAACTTCCTCTCCTCAAGACCCCAGATATCTGTCAGGTCTGTGTATTCCATTAATCCCAGTATTCTAACACTACTGTGTTAGGAAAAATAAAACCTGAAGTCCTGGCTTTGAGGAAAAGAGGGAAGAGTTGAGGGAAGAGTCATGCCACTATTTTAACCTGTATTATTTTTGTAATCCTTGCTAATTCTAAACAGCAAGATACTGTGTAGATTTCAATTGGAGGAAGGGCCATTGTTTGAAATGCAGCATGAAAAACCAGAACTCCTGCTGAGGCATACCAACACATCCTTCCAAGGGAATTTAAGCTGGAAATCACCAAGTTACCTGGTACCTAAGCAAGTTCACTAACACTTCACCCTATAAAGATATTAATTGGGGGCTGCTTCCTCTTCCTTCACAGAGAAAGCAGGCAATGTGAGATGATTTCTCACTTCCATCCCCCTTGAACCTCGCTGTGGAGGAGGATCCGAGCAAATGAAGGACTATGCAGAAAAGCTTGTTTGCTATTTAATAAAGAGAGGAGAGGTTAGACTGGTGGGTGAACTCACTTCACATTCTCACAGAGCAAAGAGGCAATCAGCAAATATTCTAAATTAATGAACAAAACACATGTTCTAACCACAATATGCGGACAAATTGCAGCGTACCATATAGTTTGGACTACAGCTCCCATGATTTATTAATATTGTTCATGCCAACTCAAGTTTCTGGGAGCTGAACTGATACATACTAAGAAAGTAAAGTTCTACTTCTCAGATGAAAAACAAGGAATATTAGGCTCAGCGACAACACTGAAGCCACCAAGGACTGTCCCATTGGCTGATACAGTTCTTCAGTGTTACTCTTCGGGTACTCTCTTGGGAAGACAAGCAGACAAAAGTCAGTGTGCTGGAAGAAGCAAAGACCACCAGCATTGAAGCAATGCTCCTATGCCATAAACTCAGCTGGACTGGTCAACTTGTCCGAATGCCCGATCACCATCTCCCAAAGCAGTTACTATACTCCAAACTCAAGAAAGGGAAACATAATGTTGGTGGACATGATGGACTTAAAGCCAACCTTTAAAACTGTAGCATAGACACAGAAAACTGGAAAGCCCTAGCCCTTGAAGGCTCTAACTGGAGGTCAGCTGTGACCAGCAGTGCTGCAGAAATCAAAGAGGAATGAATGGGGGGAGAGAGAGAGAGAGAGAGAGAGAGAAACACGCCAAGAGGAAGGCGCGATCAAGCCAACCCTGACCAGGACCACCTTCCACCTGGAAACCGATGTCTTCACTGTGGGAGAACATATGGATCAATAATAGGGCTCCACAGCCACCTATGGACCCACCACCAAGACAGTACACTTGGAAGACCATCATCCTAGGGCTATGAGGGATCGCCTAAGTAACTCATGATCCAGCCACATTCCCCACTACTTTCCCAGAAATAGCCTCCTCATCCTGTTCAATAGTTGAAATAAACCTATGTCTTTTCACATGGGAAAAAAGATGGAGGTATGAAACAAGCAACATACAGCTAAGCAATACATCAAAAGAAAAATGCAGGGAATAGTTATTTTGTGATTTTTCTCAATTGGTTTGAACTTCAATCTTTTTGCCCTAAGGCCTCAAGTTGGATCAGGTAAAACAACAATTACTTGGGTGCTTCAAGCCATTAAATACCGTAAGATCAGAATCAATTGCTAGTTCATCATCAGCTTGCACAGTCCTAGATGAGACATAATTAGTCTAGGGAAGCTAACTCAGCCCATTTTCACAGAAGGTATATTTTGTCTGTCCTAATTTAACTTTTTTTCAGTTGAAATACATCATATAAGCAGTTATAAGTGCAGGAGAAGGAATTCAGTCATCTAAATTTGCTAGCATAGCATTTGCAGCAATGTTCCAACAATGTGAAAGCAACAGGTACTCGTTAGTTGTACCTGTATGTAAAAATACTACAGAAGATAATATAAATGCTATCTCTGATCTCTTGTATCAATGAGAAATTTGGTTGTTCTAGGAACTCTCTCTAGCTGTCCCCTTAATAATGCAATCCCAGGTGATGAAAGCACAATTGTTTGCTGGTCTACATCTTGCTTCTGATTGTCCACTTCACCATCCTTTATTATTATCGTTTTGAAGTCATATGTGATAACAATTAGAATTTTAGATTGGTAACTGGAGACAAGTTCAAACTCAAGGAAACATAAAACTCACTGTCCAACTTTGGGACAGTCATTCTCTCATCCTTTTACTTCACAGGGTTGTTTTGAGGATACAAGAAAAGCAGTGATTTATGCTGCCTTTAATTCAATGAAAAAAGTCAGGTAACAATACAAATAACAATGAGAAGCATGTTATTCCATGACCTAACCAGCACAAGTTACAGAAAATTGGAAATAGACCCTATATCTCTCCTGCTTGAACTGCAATTTCAAGCGTAGAAAGTGCTGTAAGGATGGAAAGTGCATTGCAAGTGCATAATTAAGGTAAGTTTTTAAAATTATTACCTATGACACTTTTGTAGAACAGTCAATCATTCCACCACTGAATGCACCCTGTGCATTTACAGACAGTAAAATAAAAGATAAAGCAGGAAAGAGAGAAATGCAGGTGCTTACAAAAAAATTTTGTACACATCATGAATCAAGATTTCCTTGTGGCACAGGAGAAAAATCTCTTGTTAATCACACTGTAGGTTTGCAGGGAGTTAAGAGAGAGGACTCGACATAAAGCTCCAGACTTTGACTATCCCCACTTGTTTTGAAACATGTTATCACACACCCTAGGTTTTTGCCATGAACTATTGGCCTGGGAGAAGAGCGTAGGTTGTTTGTTCTTGTTTTGGTTCCTCCCTCAAATCCTTGCTGTTGATGGAGCTTTGTAAATAATTTTAAAAGCAAGGCCATCCAACATTTGTTTGGGAGTGTATACATGTGGATTTCATTATTTTACTTGGACAAAAGTCCCACTATGACTGTCTGAACTAACTCCTTACCAAATGTGTATACTTTCTCAGCATGATCTGTTTATATATTTTTAAAGGATACCTCAGATTAATCAGCAAATAAATGCCAGTACATTTTATTGATTAGCCAATTGGATGTATCAAAACCTTTGACAAACACATTTAACACATACAGCATACAACCCACAGTACAACAAAACTTAAAATAATAATATTTATTTATTTGACCGGTCATATGACCATTTCAAAATACAACACGAGGAAAAGTCAAGGCAAAAAGGAGAGGATAGCAGCTGACCTTCTGTTTAAAGTCAGAATCTTATTTTCCTGGTTCTTCTTTCAGGAAATGTGCTCTTTTCTTGATAGCTTTCAGAATAAAAAGGCTTACTCTGATTATGGTGGATCTTTCCTGTCCTTGCAAGAGGAATGTCAAAAGATCATTTCTGTTGGGGGACCTGCAGTTGGATAATTTGTTGTTCATTCTTTCAGTCATTTCCGACTCTTTGTGACCTCATGGACCAGCCCATGCCAGAGCTCCCTGTCAGCCGTCACCACCCCCAGCTCCTTCAAGGTCAATAATATTGGATGTAAATATCTGTATTGCAGTTCAATATATATGCTGGACAGTCAATCAAGAAATGTTTGATATCTTCCACAGTTTGTTCTCCCCATACGCAGAATCTCTCACTTCTTGGGATGTTACAGTAGCAACCGGTTTGCATCATAATACCGAGTTGTTCAAACCTAGCCCTAATATATATTCTTCTTAAGGGTAGCGGAAGTGGGATAGTCAAATAGTATTCTAAATGAATATTCATTTTGCGGGAAGCTAAAAACCTTGTGGCAGAAGATCTACCTATGCTTGCAAAGTCAAATTGAGCAAAATATCTCAAGTGCATTGCATGAGCACTTGTTTTGACCTAGGTCCTAGAACAGTGTTTCTCAACTTGGGAGTCGGGACCCTGAGGGGGTCATGAGGGAGTGTCAGAGGGGTTGCCAAAGACCATCAGAAAACCCAGTATTTTCCATTGGTCATAGGGGTTCTGTGTGGGAAGTTTGGCCCAATTCTATAGTTGGTAGGTTCAGAATACTGTTTGATTGAAGGTAAACTATAAATCTCACAACTACAACTCCCAAATGTCAAGGTATGTTTTCTCCAAAATCCACCATTGTTCACATTTGGGCATATTGAGTATCTGTGCCAAGTTTGGTTCAGATCCACCATTGTTTAAGGCCACAGTGATCTCTGGATGTAGGTGAACTAACTACAACACCCAAACTCAAGGTCAATGCCCACCAAACCCTTTCAGTATTTTCTGTTGGTCATGGGAATTCTGTGTGCCAAGACTGGTTCAATTCCATCATTGGAGTTCAGAATGCTCTTTGATTTTAATTGAACTATAAATCCCAGCAACTCCAACTACCAAATGACAAAATCAATGTAAATCCCACCAGTATTCAAATTTGGGCGTAGAGGGCATTTGTGCCAAATTTGGTCCAGTGAATAAAATACATCCTGCATATCGGATATTTACATTATGATTCATAATAGTAGCGAAATTACAGTTATGAAGTAGCAACAAAAATGATTTTATGGTTGGGGGGTCACTACAACGTGATGAACTGTATTAAGGGGTCACCACATTAGGAATGTTGAGAATCACTGTCCTAGAAGAATCAGCAAATAAATAAAGGTACATTTTATTGATTAGCCCATCGGCCGTATCAAAACCTTTGACAAACACATTTTACACATACAGCATACAACCCACAGTACAACAAAAGTTAAAATAAACAAGCTGTTAACAAGGTCACTTCTACAGTTTATTCCAATCGACTCCAAATATACAGTTCTCAACGGTGTTGCTTTAAATAGGAAAAGGGCCATTTTATATGTTATTTTAGCATTCTGGCCGTTTTTTTAACATTCTGTTAAGACATTTCTATTTTATAGAGATTCTAAAGCAAAGCTATCTGTTTTCTTGGTAGAATTTGTTCAACGGTAATTTCCTCTGGGACAAAAAGTGTGACTTGCTCAAAGTCAGTCAGTGGGTTTCAGTGGCTAAACAGGAATTCAAACCCTGGCCTCCCAAGTCCTACTTAAAAGCTCGAACCACTACACCACACTGACTTATCATCCTCTAAACAACCGGGAAACTAGGACACAATTAGGTGGAGGAATTTGGTCACACCCAGTTGCTCAAAGAGAAACTGATAAACTCTGGAGCTTTGCCTTCCTTATTCCCCTTGCTGCAGTTAGATAAAAGTTGAAAGGCTCCTAAACAAAGGAGAAACACAAACAGAAAAGCAGAGGAAGGAATATAATACAGCTTCTCCAGTGTTTAAAGCGTTTCACATAATACACCTCAGAGATGCTTAAAACCATACTGTGGGTTGGACAGCATCTACTTTGCAAAGAATAGAGTGGAATGAGAGAAAGGGGTACAGAGACAACAAAAACAATGACTGTTAAAAAATATTTTTATGAGATGCACATCCCACTGCTCTTCCCAGAATAGTTATTAACAAACATTAACAGGAAGGGCCATGAAATGCAACAGGTAGCAACAATGCAGAAGATGTCATAAGAACTGCAAGAACTGAGCACCAAAAATCCAGACACACGGCAGAGTAACAACAAGAACGAATTGCAGCCACAAGGTCCCAACTCACACTCTTTTTTGCTAAAACAAGGCTGCTCTGAACAATTTTCTAAGAAAGCATTTTAAAATATTGTAAACAATAGCCTCAAAGACACTGTGGGATTTGTGAGGAATCATATTACAACAGCATTAGAAGCAACACTTGATGGATCACATACAAAACATCAGGCAGTGCTTTTATGTCGTCTTGACAATTTTCTCACTTATTTTAGCTTTAACGCCTTGTACACAGAACTTTCTTTAAAAGTTAAAGTACTTATAAATTGGAGGCATTCTTCTTTTGTCACAGAAAGGCGTGCCTGTTTTAAGATTTATCCCTGCAGTGATACTTATGTTCCATATAAAAACAAAGAACATTTTTTCCTTCAACATAATCACATTAAATAAATTGTGCACAACCAATCAATTAAAACTGATTCAATTATCCAACCAAAACTGCTTCAATTTAGAAACAATCTAAATGTTCCTTCACAGTGTGGGATACAAATCAAGTTAATCACTCTTTCACACTACACAATTATTGCACTTTGATCCCACTTCAAATATGAACCCTGGGATTTGAAGCTTAAGATTTCTGTGCTAGAGGGTTCTAGTGCCTCACTAGACTAAAACACAAAATACAAAGCATGGTAGTTAAAGTGGTATCAAAGTGTTACAGTAGATACCATACTTTCTATGAGTCAGAACAATATTTCATGACATTCAGTATTAGGCACACACATACCAGCCACTGGTATTTCACACTTACCATTGGTTATGGTGATGCGCCGACCCTGGTAGTAGTTCCCAAGAGTCACTGTGTTTCCTTGTTTGGTAGCCACCACACGCACGGTCCGGGAGCTGTCCTGGCACTCCACATAGGGATTATATCCAGGGTTGGTCTGCTGCAGCTGGTTGGTGATCTGGGTCTCCTGACCACTGGGATTAAAAGCGTCTGCCAGGCGGCTCCGGCAATAAGATCTGTATTTCCACAAGACAATCGGTGGCTGGGTAGATGAGGTCTGGTAGTTGCATTGCAGAACGACTGGCTGAAACAGGATGGCTATGTTGAAGGGATTCTGGACTGTGACGTCTATTGTGGCGGCAGGATCTAAAGATGGGAGCAGACAGTCAAACAGGGCAGAGATCCTGAACCAGAAATCTTAAACTCAATGTCACATGTCTTCATCTAAAATGCATCATCATTTTATTCATTCATTGACTGTGGTTATATATTATATATATGGCATGTTTTATTGCTTAAATAGGGCAAATACCATATATACTCGAGTATAAGCCAATCCAAATATAAGCCGAGGCACCTAATTTTACCACAAGAAACTGGTAAAATGTATTGACTCGAGTATAAGCTGAGGGTGAGAAATGTAGCTGCTACTGATAATCATCAGTAGGTTAAATGTTTTTGTGTATTTACATAAAACTGTTATTTAAGATTATTTATTATTTATTTATTTAAAACATTTATATTCTGCCCTTCTCACCCCGAAGGGGACTCAGGGCGGAACACAGCATATATACGGCAAAAATTCAATGTCAGGACAAGAATTCATATGAGTATAAATAAACATTAAAAACATTTATCAAAATATTAAAATACAATGTTTAAACCATCTTAGTCATCTGCATCAAATCTAAATTGGCCTGGTAAAGTTTCTTATCGCTGCCTTATTGCACTGTCCCGAAAGCTTGGTCCCACAACCAAGTTTTTACCATCCTTCTGAAGGACAGGAGGGAGGGGGCTGATCTGATCTCACCAGGAAGGGAGTTCCATAGCCAGGGGGCAATCACTGAGAAGACCCTGTCTCTTGTCCCCACCAATCGAGCCTGTGACAATGGCGGGACGGAGAGCAGGGGGAGATGCGTTCAAACAGGTAAATCAGTCTGGGGCCATTTAGGGTTTTATAGGCCAAAGGCAGCATTTTGAATTGTGCCCGGTAGCAAACTGGCAGCCAGTGGAGCTGGCGTAACATGGGAGTTCTGTGCTCCCTACCCAATGACTGTGGTTATATATTATATATATATATGGCATGTTTTATTGCTTAAATAGGGCAAATACCATATATACTCGAGTATAAGCCAATCCAAATATAAGCCGAGGCACCTAATTTTACCACAAGAAACTGGTAAAATGTATTGACTCGAGTATAAGCTGAGGGTGAGAAATGTAGCTGCTACTGATAATCATCAGTAGGTTAAATGTTTTTATGTATTTACATAAAACTGTTATTTAAGATTATTTATTATTTATTTATTTAAAACATTTATATTCTGCCCTTCTCACCCCGAAGGGGACTCAGGGCGGAACACAGCATATATACGGCAAAAATTCAATGTCAGGACAAGAATTCATATGAGTATAAATAAACATTAAAAACATTTATCAAAATATTAAAATACAATGTTTAAACCATCTTAGTCATCTGCATCAAATCTAAATTGGCCTGGTAAAGTTTCTTATCGCTGCCTTATTGCTCTGTCCCGAAAGCTTGGTCCCACAACCAAGTTTTTACCATCCTTCTAAAGGACAGGAGGGAGGGGGCCGATCTGATCTCACCAGGAAGGGAGTTCCATAGCTGGGGAGCAATCACCGAGAAGGCCCTGTCTCTCGTCCCCACCAATAGCCTGTGACAATGGCGGGACGGAGAGCAGGGGGAGATGCGTTCAAACAGGTAAATCAGTCTGGGGCCATTTAGGGTTTTATAGGCCAAAGGCAGCATTTTGAATTGTGCCCGGTAGCAAACTGGCAGCCAGTGGAGCTGGCGTAACATGGGAGTTCTGTGCTCCCTACCCAACTCTGATTAAACCATTATTCTAATTTTCTTCAATGTAAATGTGCTTACGTAACCTTCCAATAATAATAAGTAAAATAATAAATGCAATCAATATAATAATACAGTAAAATAATGTAAATGTAGTAATAATAGAGTAAAATAATAAATGTAATAATACTAATAGAGTAAAATAATAAATGTAATACAAATAATACTAATAGCAGAGTAAAATAATAAATAAACTTGACTCGAGTATAAGCTGAAGGAAACTTTTTTAGCCTAAAAAGGGGGCTGAAAAACTAGGCTTATACTTGAGTATATACAGTAAACAAATCATAATCAATACAAAACCATGATGTATTATAATGCCCAATAAGTATGTTTCTTTTTGAGTTTTGCAGTTTCTAGTCTTGTCCCTTTGTTAGCTTCCACTTCTTAGCAGATAGTTGGGAAAATAAGCAAGATCAAGTAATAGTTTCAGGTTCAGACATAAAACCTCATCATTTAAAAATAAGCCAGAGTTTAAAAACCCACAATTAATCATAGGTTAAATCTGTGGTATGCAGCCAGTTAAGAAACTAGATATTACTAACAGAGGCAGATTTGAACACGAAGCCAGCTTTCACCAATCCGTACCATGATTATTATTTTTTTGCTGTAACACATACATACAGGCAAATCTGTCACTATGAACCAATCAGTTGGTTCAAGAATATTTACATTTTGTTTTCCTTCACAGCAAATTTTTTTCTCATGGTTGTAAGTAGCTTGGTTTTAGAGAAACCACCTTAGCTCCACAATTCAATTCAGCAGCTTTTGCCACTCTGATTCCTCTTTTGTGAAAACGACTATTCACCCAAGCAAGTGTAAAGTGTCATGGTCATCCATGATTTCTGTATGCTTAGGTATTATAATTTGAACCTGCCTTCATAAATCAGATTTGATGGATTGCACAGGAAATAGCCGGACCTATTGGAAATTTAAAATCTCTGTACAGCTTTACTGCCACATAGCAACAAAAGCATATTCAGAAACAGTAAAATACAAGTGTCCTGGTGTCCAGTGGAAAAAAAATTTATACACCGATAGGTAAAAGAAACATTTTGTGTTTATTCATATATTTAAGCTAGCTGCCAGAAGGTAGAACCAGATAATTCAAATCTGCATGAGCTTCTCTCATAGAAGAAAATGCTGGCGTGAAAGGAAAGAAACAGCAAGCATTTGCAGGCATCCATTAACACAAGAACTCTTTTCTTCAACACAGAGCTGAAAGGACTTGTAGGTCAACTCTTACACGTGGGAATGTGAAAGTCGGACACACTTTGTACCAACGACATTTTACCAAGTGGAGCAATAACCTCCAAGTCATTTGCCTGTTAACCCAGAAGTTGCTATTTCCATCCCTCCCAGCAGCTTTCCTACTCATTAGCCAATCCATGTAAGTAGGTTTATAGAGATACCTTTACAACAGGTTTTCCAGTTTTGCAGAGCACTTACATCTGGTCAGCTCAAGATTTTTATCACTGTGGCTACACCCTTGTTTGCCTGTTTATAAGCCTGCCTGCATAGATCTTTACTTCCTTCTGGTGCACATTCAAACACTCTGAATTCCCATGGTGGCCAAAAACAGGTGTACTGTATTTTTGAACCTTTCCACCAAATGTCAGACATACTGGAGATTAAGCTTTAGGCACAAATACAAGGAAGCGTGCCATACAGGGCCCAAATACGGCATCCTTTGCTATGAAAAAAATCCAGCATTCTCTAAAGTAAAGGTAAAGTTTTCCCCTGACATTAATTCCAGTCGTGTCCGACTCTGCGGGGTGGTGCTCATCTCCATTTCTAAGCTGAAGAGCCGGCATTGTTCGTAGACATCTCCTAGAGAATGTGGCCAGCATGACTGCATGGAGTGCTGTTACCTTCCCGCAGAAGTAGTACCTATTGATCTATTCACATTTCAATGTTTTTGAACTACTAGGTTGGCAGAAGCTGGGGCTAACAGCAGGAGCTCACCCCGCTCCCTGGGATTTGAACCGGCAATCTTTCGGTCAGCAGTTTAACTCACTGCACCACCAGGGGCTCCTAGAGGTCAGGAAACTGGGTTTGCAGGAAAAGGTTACGGATAAAACAACAACCATTTGCAGATCTTTCTGGACTGTATTTGCTTTGGAGGGGCAAGGAGACATACAGAGACTTCTAGACTCTTGGTGTAGTGTATTTTTTTAACCTTACCACCAAATACACTGATGGAAAATGGAAACACAGTAATTATCTATCGCTCTTCTTCATTCGTATCTGCCTTGCAAAGAATGAGGCTTTTCTTCCTTTCTGCCTAGCAAAGAAACTAAATTGATTGTTGAAGGACAAATAGATTACCGTATCATTATTCCACTATCCATAATATGCTCCCATATAGAACTCATAACATTTCATAGCTTGACAGGGGAATTACTAAACATAAGGGAAATGCAAAAGAAAAAAAGAAAAAAACCCTCAGACTCCTGTAGTGTTCCCAGTCTTTCTGCATGAGCATTCATGGTGCTGAAGGGGACAAGGAACACCTGATTTAATTTTATTTAATCTGATTCATAAATAGCAATAGTATGAAGAGTGAGTTTGATTACAAATAGCCTTAGTCTTTAGTGTTGGACACTGCCATGAGAAAAAACAGGCTTGACAGGGCAATGAAAAACAAGCAAGGAAACAGAACCCAGCAGTAAACAGCCCATCACTTCCTTAGATACGTGAAAGACGGAGGTCTGGGAATGTCAAGCCAAGGAAATCACACAGGTGGACAAGACGATAAACCCAAAAAGCAAGTCTTAGATGTAGACAGTTCAAACAAAATAGTGTTTGATGGATTGGACCAAAATGGATGCCTCAAAGAAAGAGAAAAAAAAGGCCCCGGTGGTATATTGATATACCATCAGGGTATATCAATATACCATCAGGATTTGCTTTCCGAAACTGTTTTGATAAGCATCTAATCCAGCATTTCTCAACCTGGGAGTCGGGACACCTGGGGGTTTCAGAGGGGTCACCAAAGACCATCAGAAAACATATATTTCTGATGGTCTTAGGAACCCCTTTGACAGAGAGGGCTGAAAGTCTCTCTACCTATCATTCTCTTTCTTTTTGGAAACAGATGGTGAATCATCCCACCAAAAACTCTCCTCAGGTGTGATTGGCCGGCCTCTCAGCCAAGGGGAGGGCTGTTCCTCAGACTCCAAGAGGGGAGGGGACAGCAGGTGTGCTCAGCGCATGGCAGCGTGGGGCACATGTGCGGGTGAGGGAGAGTGTGCGAGGCTGGAGGGAGGCTAGGGCCAGTGAGTCCCTTCAGAGTATCGAGTTCTGTGCGCCAAGCTTGGTTCAATTCCATCATTGGTGGAGTTCAGAATGCTCTTTGATTGTAGGTTAATTAAAAATCCCAGAAAATACAACTCCCAAATGACAAAATCAATCCTTCTCCACAACCTCACCAGTATTCAAATTTGGGCATGTTGGCTAATTGTGCCAAATTTGGTACAATGAATGAAAATAGATCCTGTATATCAGATATTTACATTACAATTCATATCAGTAGCAACATGACAGTTATGAAGTAGCAACAAAAATAATTTTATGGTTGGGGGTCACCACAACATGACGAATTGTATTAAGGGGTTGTGGCATTAGAAAAGTTGAGAAACACTGATTTAATCAAAGGTACCATAGGAGGATGAAATGGGAATTGAAAGGAAAGATGGCAGGGGGACAGAAGGTTGTTTAGAGGTGTGAAATTGTTCCTGCAAAACTAAGAATGCCATGTGAAACCTCATTCGGTGTGCTGCTTTCCTTCTATGAAGTCACCAGCAGATCTCTCTATTTGCAAATACAGGTTTGTTGTATGTCATCCCTGCCTCGTTTGAGAAATCGGCTTCGAGGTTATAAGGGTTGCCTTTAAAGGGCCAATGCACTTGGTCCTCTTCATTGCCATAAACAATCAAATGCAGGCAGCACTCAAGTTACAAACATCCACCTTACAAACAACTCATAGTTAAGAACGGGTGAGACAACAGGAAGTGTGCAAAATGTACCCCTAGGAAGAGAAATGCACTCCTGGAAGAGTTTTCATGGGGAAAACATGTCTCCACTGAAGCATTCTCACCAATCTTTGTATCCACAGCAAGCCAAAATGTTCAAAATCCAATTAACACAGGTACTGAAAGGGGAACAGAAAGCAAAAGAAACATCATATGGATGTTAACCGCTCTCTATGCTATCCAAACCAATATATGCCTGGAGTTACACTTAAAAACCTCTCAAGGAAGGGTATATCAGAGGACTCTCTAGTTGTTGACAGCTTTCTAACTTTTGAAGGCAAGGAAATCTCAAACAGAGCCCTTTTCAGTTTTGATGCTGAAAACAAGCAAGTTAATTTTAAGATTCGATGCTCTGCACATTGAGAAGTCATTTATTTACTACAATAAGAAACACTTCTCATTTTTACACTCTACATGTTCTATGAGATGAGTGAGCAGGACAGAAATTTTCAACCAAACCTTTGATACAACACAATCCGCTTATTCACTGCCTGCATCAACATTTTTCCTGCTCCTTTTATTTGTTCCTGTGGTTTCATTCCAGCTTTAAAAGGGGGTTGATACTGGGATCAGTTTCCTCCTACAAAGGACGGGGAGTTTCTGCAGAAGTGTGTGTCATAACCAGAATGAGACGTCACCTTGAATGAGACGTCACCTTCTGGGAGAAACGTTCCCCACAGTCAGACACACCTGGAGCTTGATCTTTAGCTACAAACAAAAGGAAGCGTGCCACACAAAGACCAAATATGGCATCGTTTGCTATGAAAAAAACTCCAGCATTCCCTAAGGTAAAGGTAAAGATTTTCCCCTGACATTAAGTCCAGTTGTGTCCAACTCTGGGGGTTGGTGCTCATCTCCATTTCTAAACCAAAGAGCCGGTGTTGTCCGCAGACACCTCCTAGATCATTTGGCTGGCATGACTGCATGGAGTGCCGTTACCTTCCCGCAGAAGCAGTATCTATTGATCTACTCACATTTGCATATTTTCAAACTACTAGGTTGGCAGAAGCTGGGCCGAACAGCAGGAGATCACCCTGCTCCCCAAATTTGAACCAGCAACCTTTCGGTAAGCAAGTTCAGCAGCTCAGCGGTTTAACCCACTGCGCCACCGGGGGCTTCTAGAGGTCAGAAAATTGGGATTGCAGGAAAAGGTTACGGATAAAACAACAACTATTTGCAGATCTTTCTGGACCTTGGAGGGGCGTGGAGACATACAGAGAACCAGGCCCGTAGCCAGAATTTTGATTCCGGGGAGGGGGGAGCTGAGTTTGATTCAGGGAGGGGGGCTCAGGATCTACCCTAGAAAACCTTTTGTATCATTATCCCAATACCCCCATGCATATGGGATATATTGATCATGGTGATCAGATCATGATATGAATAAACATAACAGTTTAAATAATGTACCAGTAAGGACTTCTCGTGGACCCCCCCCCCCCAAGCTACGGGCCTGCAAAGAACATATCAGCCGATGTAAACTTAACACCAAGATAATGTTATCTTTGGATCCCAGAAATCAGCCTCAATCCTCAAATCCTGGAACAACTTAAGAGCTATTGCTGTTTAATGGTTAATGACCCAATGAGACTTAAACAGATCCTGAGTGATGCACAGTTGTTGTTTCTAACCTGAAGATTAATGTTGTATCTTCTCTCCATCAGAGCACTGTGTTAGACTACAACCTCCATAATTCCAGCAGCATATCTTGGTAGTTGGAGGAAATGGGAGTTGTAGTACAACCAACCTGGAGGACAGCTGCCTTAGAATCTAAAGGCTTTTTACCACATGTAGGTAGGATTTCTAAGTACCAAACTAAAGACTGAGAGCGCCTTGGACCGCGAGAAGATCCAACCAGTCCATACTTCAGGAAATAAAGCTCACTGGAGGGAATGATATTAGAAGCAAAGATGAAGTAGGTTGTTGTAGGATTTTTCGAGCTATATGGCCATGTTCTAGAGGCATTCTCTTCTGATGTTTCGCCTGCATCTATGGCAAGCATCCTCAGAGGTAGTGACCTCACTATCTCTGAGGATGCTTGTCATAGATGCAGGCAAAACGTCAGGAGAGAATGCCTGTAGAACATGGCCATATAGCCTGAAAAAACCTACAACAACCCAGTGATTCCGGCCATGAAAGCCTTTGACAATACAAAGATGAAGTACTTTGGCCACATCATGAGAAGACAGGAAAGCTTAGAGAAAGCAATGATGCTGGGGAAAATGGAAGGAAAAAGGAAGAGGGGCTGACCAAGGGCAAGATGGATGGATGGTATCCTTGAAATGACTGGCTTGACCTTGAAGGAGCTGGGGGTGGCCACGGCCAACAGGGAGCTCTGGTGTGGGCTGGTCCAGGAGGTCACAGAAGAGTCAGAAGTGAATGAACAAATAAACAACAAACTAAAGATATTGTCTTTTAAATCCTCTAACTGAGAAACCGAGCCAGTCACGATTTCTCCCAAGGATCCTCTTGTTCTCCATCAAGGGACAATTTGCACCAACTTGGGAAGGTAGTTGGAAGAATATGCAGCTGTTGTGTTTCCTGACATAGTAGAGGATTTTAAAAAAACAAAACAGCAGCGATGTTTGTGCTGTGAGCAGGAAACTGAACAACAAAAGGGAGAGCAAGAGAGACAAAGGCTTAAGCTGAAATAGGTGGGAAGGGAAGCAGTCAAGATCTTCAGCCCAAGATGTGCCCAGGAGGGGTGGGGGAAAGACAGGGCTTAAAGATTTCAAAAGAAAAGGAAAAAATGAATGGAAGGCTCTGTCCGTCTAAAGTGCTGGAACAGACTTAATAACGTGGTCACTCCTTGGCCTTCCCACAGTATCTGGTGAAACAATGTGGCTAGACAAGTAAGGACCAATGAAGAGGAAGCAGGGCATTCCAAATGGATCTTGGCCAGCAGATAAGACTGCAGTGTTACTGCTTCCGAATTACAGTGCTGCACATTACAGTAGAGCAGTGTTTCTCAACCTTCCTAATGCTGCAACCCCTTAATACGATTCCTCAGTTGTGGTGACCCCCAACCATCACATTATTTTCGTTGCTACTTCATAACTGTCATTTTGCTACTGTTATGAATCGATATATAAATATCTGATATGCAGGTTGTATTTTCATTCACTGGACCAAATTTGGCACAAATACCCAATATTCTCACATTTGAATGCTGGTGGGGTTGGGGGGGATTGATTTTGTCATTTGGGAGTTGTAGTTGCTGGGATTTATAGTTTGCTTACAATCAAAGAACATTCTGAACTCCACCAATGATGGAATTGAACCAAACTTGGCAAACAGAACTCCCATGACTGACATAAAATACTGGGAGGATCTGGTGGGCGTTGGCCTTGAGTTTGGGAGTTGTAGTTCAGCTACATCCTGAGAGCACTGTGGACTCAAACAATGATGGATCTGAACCAAACTTGGCACAAATACTCAATATGCCCAACTGTGAATACTGGTGGAGCTTTGGGAAAATAGACCTTGACATTTGGGAGTTGTAGTTGCTGGGATTTATAATTCACCTACAATCACAGAGCATTCTGAACCCCACCAATGATAGAATTGGGCCAAACTTGGCACACAGAACTCCCATGACCAACAGAAAATCCTGGAAGGGTTTGATAGGCATTGACCTTGAGTTTGGGAGCTGTAGTTCACCTATGTCCAGAGAGCACTGTGGACTCAAACAAGGATGGATCTGGACCAAACTTGGCATGAATACTCAATATGCCCAAATGTGAACACTGGTGGGGTTTGGGGAAAATACACCTTGACATTTGTGAGTTGTAGTTGTTGGGATTTATAGTTCACCTACAATCACAGAGCATTCTGAACCCCACCAATGATAGAATTGGACCAAAGTACTCATTTAAACAGTAAAGATTATAGGAAATATATCATGTTATATCTCAGGCATGAGGAAACGTGGGCCCTCCAGGTGTTTTGGACTTCAACACCCACAATTCCTGGCCTCAGGCCCCTTTCTTTCCCCCCTCACCCGCTTAAGCGGCTGAGGGGGGAAAGAAAGGGGCCTGAGGCCAGGAATTGTGGGTGTTGAAGTCCAAAACACCTGGAGGGCCCAAGTTTCCTCATGCCTGAGATATATATTGCTTGAAACTCTTGTAATGGAAACCTTACAACACCCTTAGCCAAACAGTATCCTGGACTGCAACTCCCCTCACCCTGACATGATGGGAGTTGTGATCCCAGGCGGCACCATGTCAAGTTCTTACCTGAGATCCAGGCGCCAATCCACAGCCAGAGCAGCATGGCCGGCCGAGGCTTCATCCTCAGCGTCTGCCTTCTTTCCTCGGACTTGGGGGTCGGTCCGCAGCAACCAAACAAAAGGAAAGGGGTGGCGAGAAGGCGGGTTCGGACCTTCCCCTCCCCCCCCCCTTTCCAACTTCTCCCAGTGGTCTCGTCCAACACAAAGCCGCCCCTCTCTCTCCTTCCGCCAACTTCGAAACGCCGCTCTGAACTCTGCAAGCGGCTCAGGTGCAGCGCCTCGCCCAAGAGTGGAAACTACCAACTCCCAAAAGAAGGGGGGGGGGACAGAAACCAAAACACTTTCGGACTTCTCTTTAGCAAACCGGGAGGACAACAGCCTCCACCTAATGGAGATGGTTTCCACCTCCCTCCTCCTTGGAATGTAGTGGGAAGTCGGAATGCGCCAAGTTCCTTGAGAAAAGGGGGAAGGGCAAGGAGAAACTTTGTGACCCCTGCTTTGCCTTGCCTCCTCCCCGCCCTCCCCTCCTTCTTCCCGAAAGTGGACTCGCCCAGGTGCTGTTTAGCAGGGCATTGGGTCAAAGGCGGGTTGGTGTTAGGAAACCGTTGGTGGAAGGGCTGAGCTCATCAGCAGCTCCTTGAGCCAAGCCTAGAGCCCTGGTGGTTCAAGTGGTGTTGAGGTCAAACCCGGAACTCCCTGCCTTCAAGCTGATCTGACCTGCAGCAGGGAGTTCCTCAGTTCTCCATTGTCCCTCTTGAGCCAACCTGCCAGAACGTGGCCACAGCAGCAGCTGCAACTTAGAAGCCTTCTTATTACTTCGCTTTCTTCACCCTTCTAACATTGTAACTTTGTTGTTGTTCATTCGTTCAGTCGTCTCCAACTCTTCGTGACCTCATGGACCAGCCCACGCCAGAGCTCCCTGTCGGCCGTCACCACCCCCAGCTCCTTCAAGGTCAGTCCAGTCACTTCAAGGATGCCATCCATCCATCTTGCCCTTGGTCGGCCCCTCTTCCTTTTGCCTTCCACTTTCCCCAGCCTAATTGTCTTCTCTAGGCTTTGCTGTCTCCAAAGTACTTCAACTTTGTCTCTAGTATCCTTCCCTCCAATGAGCAGTCGGGCTTTATTTCCTGGAGTATGGACTGGTTGGATCTTCTCGCAGTCCAAGGCACTCTCAGAACTTTCCTCCAACACCACAGTTCAAAAGCATCAATCTTCCTTCGCTCAGCCTTCCCTAAGGTCCAGCTCTCACATCCGTAGGTTACTACAGGGAATACCATGGCTTTGACTAGGTGGATCTTTGTTGCCAGTGTGATGTCTCTACTCTTCACTATTTTATCGAGACTGGACATTGCTCTCCTCCCAAGAAGTAAGCGTCTTCTGATTTCCTGGCTACAGTCTGTCTGCAGTAATCTTTGCACCTAGAAATACAAAGTCTGTCACGGCCTCCACATTTCTCCCTCTATTTTCCAGTTGTCAATCATTCTTGTTGCCATAATCTTGGTTTTTTTGACGTTCAGCTGCAACCCAGCTTTTGCGCTTTCTTCTTTCACCTTGATTAGAAGGCTCCTCGGCTCCTCCTCGCTTTCGGCCATCAGAGTGGTGTCATCTGCATATCTGAGGTTGTTAATGTTTCTTCCAGCAATTTTCACCCCAGCTTTGCATTCATCAAGCCCCGCACATCGCATGATGTGTTCTGCATACAAGTTAAAAAGGTTGGGTTAGAGGATGCAGCCTTGCCGTACGCCTTTCCCAATCTTGAACCAGTCTGTTGTTCCGTGGTCAGTTCTGACTGTTGCTACTTGGTCCTTGTACAGATTCCTCAGGAGAGCGACAAGGTGGATTTGGTATGCCCATCCCACCAAGAACTTGCCACAATTTATTATGATCCACACAGTCAAAGGCTTTAGAATAGTCAATGAAGCAGAAGTAGAACATTGTAACTGATCCCCCCCATAAAAGTATCAATTAATTGTAACCTTTTCCCTCTCCATAGTGTTACTTTGTGTCCTTTTAGTGCCTGTAACCTCTCTCTACATAAATCTTTCATCTCCCGGGCTACAGACAGCTGCCGGCCCGCCCGGGATGCGATTTTCATGTCCCAGGGAAGCTGAAACTGCATTCCGTTAAACCGCGGATACGGAAACCCCGGGATGCGATTTTCATGTCCCAGGGAAGCTGAAACTGCATTCCGTTAAACCGCGGATACGGAAACCCATTGGGTCCCTGTATCCGCGAGTCAACAGATCACTTCGAAATTGGTGTCATTCTTCTCCTGGGAGAATTCTAAGACTGACGGCTATCTAGGTTTCATCCCACTAACCCCTTCACCATGGGAATAACCCTTTTTGTGTCTCAAACCTCGACCTGGAGCCCAGCTGTTTCTCTGAAGACACTGCCTCATTGCCACAATTTTGTGGATGCCCAGGGAGCCTGCTGATCTTGGGAAACTGTCGCAGTCACCCCATAGGATCCCCAAGATGTTGGCGGGCTGCCTTGGTCCTTGGTGAGGAGGGATCTGTAATTCTCTCCATGGATCTTGATCTCCAATGCTGGCAGTTGCCTCATAAGAACTCTATGGACTCTGGGACACCTTTTCCAACTTGCCTCCCCTTACAACTTTTATCAACTTTCTTCAACTTTGGTGAGACTTTATTTGGGAAAAATTAAGTAAAAATCGGGGGTGCTTCGCTTGTCTTGCCAGGGTTCCGGACTCTCCTTGTTGAGTCTGATTGGTCTTCGCCTCCTGGCAAAGACCCCCAAATTCTTGCTCGATATCAGTGTTGACCCACATTAATTCCACAGCGTAGATGAACCCAGAGTCACTGGGTTGTTGTAAATTTTCTGGGCTATGTTCCAGAAGCATTCTCTCCTGATGTTTCTCCCACATCTATGGGAGGCATCCTCAGAGATTGTGAGGTTTGTTGGAAACTAGGAAAATTGGTTTTATATATCTGTGGAATGTCCAGGGTGGGAGAAAGAACTCTTGTCTATTGGTGGTAAGTGTGAATGTTTCAACTGGCCACCTTGGTTAACATTTAATGACCTAGCAGCTTCAAGGTATGGCTTCTTACTGCCTTTGTTGAGAGGTGATTAGCTGTCCCTGATTCTTTCTTGCCTGGAGTTCCCCTGTTTTTGAGTGTCGTTCTTTATTTACTGTCATGATTTTGGAGAAGTCTTTAAAAGAGTTTTTAAACCCAGAGTCAGTGCTCAAGGTATAAGTGTAAAGGAAAACAATGCAAAACCTCATGTAAACAAACAGTAACGATTATATGAAACGTGTGTGTGTGTGTGTGTATCAGGTCCAAAACACAGAGGGCAAACTTTGGCCCTCTGTGTTTTGGACTTCAACTCCCGCAATTCCTGGCCTTAGGCCCCTTCCTTTTCCTCCTCAACCACTTAAGCCCTCACAAGCCCTATGAGGAGTGGCTTGTGAGGTGGTATTTGGTGACCCTTCTGACACCCCCTCGCAGCCCCCCAGTGGTCCCAACTCCCAGGTTGAGAAACGCTGTCTTAAGGCCATCCAGCCCAACTCCCTTCACCAGGGTAAGAAAGAATAGTCAACGCCCTCCTGACAAAGAGCTATCTAGCCATAAATAGAGAGAGATATATATGATTCACACACAAACACATATATGTATATGACAGATATAACTCGGGACTATGTCTGTTCTTGTTTTATTGTATTTTAAAGTTAATTGTATTGCTTTAGTCTACTATTGTAAACCGCTCCGAGCCAAATTGGGAGTAGCGGTACACAAGTCAAATAAATAAAAAAATAAATAAAATAGTATCTTAGGTTTAAAAGGGAAGCCTAAAGAAGAACAATCATATTTTGCATGTTCCAGAGTAGGCAAACCAGACAATCTCTACATCAAGACTGACAAAGAAACAACAAGAAATACTGTTTACCCACAAGCATTAAGAAATGACATATATTAGAAACCAACATTTTTTAATTTATTTTCCAGATAATCAGACTGGGCCACAGCAACGAGACACCTTTTTTCCCATGATAATAGCAACTAACAGGTGTGAATTCCCCATCTTAGTGGTAGATTTATATCACTCCCTGTTGTCCCACCCCGTTTGTAACTATGAGTTGTTTGTAAGTCAGATGTTTGTAACTTGGGGACTGCCTGTATAAGCCTGGGTTTGGTGGTATGCATAGTTAACTTCTCCCATATCTTTTTTATTTATTGTTTTATATATATTTGGCTGGACTTACACTTTAAAATGTACCTGTTCTGACTTACAAAGAAATTCAACTTATTTATTTATTTAAAACATTTATATTCTGCCCTTTCTCACCCCGAAGGGAACTCAGGGCCAGCATATATACGGCAATTATTCAATGCCAGGACAAGAAATGATATAAGTATGCATAAACGTTAAAAACATTTATCAAAATATTAAAATACACAATTTAAAACCGTCATTGGTCATCTGTGTCAAATTGGCCTGGTAAAGTTTCCTATCGCTGCCTTATAGCCTTGTCCCGGAAGCTTGGTCCCACAGCCAAGTTTTTACCATCCTTCTGAAGAATAGGAGGGAGGGGGCTGACCTGATCTTACCAGGAAGGGAGTTCCATAGCCAGGGGGCAATCACTGAGAAGGCCCTGTCTCTCATCCCCACCAATCGCACCTGTGACAAAGGCAGGACGGAAAGCAGGGCCTCCCCGGAGGATCTTAATCTCCGCGATGGTTCATAGGGGGAGATGCGTTCGGATAGGCAAATTGGGCCGGGGCTGTTTAGGGCTTTATAGGCCCAAGCCAGCACTTTGAATTGTGCCCGGTAGCAAACTGGCAGCCAGTGGAGCTGGAGTAACATGGGAGTTGTGTGCTCCCTGTATGTCGCCCCAGTTATTAACCTGGCTGCCTCTCGTTGGACTATTTGAAGCTTCCAAGCAGTCTTCAAAGGCAACCCCATGTAGAGCTTGTTGCAGTAGTCTATTCTGGATGTAACGAGAGTGCAGACCACTGTGGCCAAGTCTGACTTCCCAAGATATGGGCGTAGCTGGCGCACAAGTTTTAATTTTGCAAAAGCTCCCTTGGCCACCGCTGTAACCTGGGATTCCAAGCTCAGTGATGAGTCCAGGAGAACTCCCAAGCTGCGAACTTGTGCCTTCACTTAAGAACAAGCCTACAGAAATATATTTTAGATAACTTGGGGACTGCCTATAATAGTAATGACCCCACAATTATGAAACTGGCCTCAAACCAATTAAACAAAACACAGCCCAGGACTGTTGCTAAGAATTTTGCTGCCCATTATGACATCATCCTTTTTCCCACCTCCATTATGATGTTGCCTGAGGTCTGTCTGAATTTGCCTTTTGAATCTATGTTGTAGGTCAGTACCTAGATGACCATGTCCTTTTGGCCATCCTTTGTGGCTCTCTTCTTGGGCCTGACTTTGGCTATTACTGAAGGTACCTTGTATGGCGGTCACTCCCTGGGATCACCCTGCCTTCCAGGTCAGCCTTGCACGCTAGCCTTTATCTCCGACAACCCAGTGATGCTGCGCTGTCCTCATGGATACTTCAGTGCCCACGTCTCTTGGCAATATCTCGATCCACAGTGGATAGACAGGCAGCCTGCTACCTTTTTGCATGCAGGGATCGCTCCCTTGCTTAGCCACGGCAAGTTGCGGAGGTTGCGGTCCAAATCTCGACTAGTTGCCAACAACCTGTATATACCAAGACCCCATGTAAAGGACTCTGGATTGTATACCTGTCGGGAAGGCGATGCTACCATTGCTTATTATGAGGTAGATTTCCAGGATGCTGGGCACCTCCAAGTCTCGCACGCTGGCCTTGGGGAGACAACTCTGGAAAATGCTACAGCAGAGCTAGAAGATGGGACCCTGGCTGAGCTGTTCACCGCATGGAGTCCTTGGCAAGCTTGTGATCACTGTGGTCATTCTGGAGAAAGGAAGCGGGTGGGCTTTTGTTACGTCCGCATGACAAAAAAGGATGGTCAGGAAGAAAAGCCACTGCCATGTGGGATGGTCAGGAGGAAGCACCCACTGTTGCCACAACGGGGACCAGAACTGAGAATGGAAACCTGCCACATTCCCTGTGACGCAGCGCACATGCTTTCCTTAAATGATTCCAGCGCTGTGTCAAGTATGCTCTATAGCACTTACCATCTCCGACCCAACACGACTGCCTTCCTGCACTGCCCAGCATCATCCATTTACAGGTACAATTCTTCAACTAGAATCAGTCTTATCCAGCCCCTATGTGGACAAATGTGTCTTCAATAGTCCCATCAGGCATTTGCTGAAAGGGCCAAGCAAGAAAACCAGGTTTTAAAAAGTAACTTCCTTGCATATTTGACAGCTCTACAGAAAATAGCATTTTAACAGGTACAACTTTTCTGGATAGTCCTGGACAAGAGGCAAGTGAAAAGCGGGGAGTGGGGGCAGGGGACAGTTCCACCTTGTCTCCTGTGTTATGCTAATAATATAATATAATACAATATAATATAATATATTGTATATACATATAATATTTATAATATTATAATGTAATACAATATAATACTAATAATATGATATTATAATTGTATATTTTATATTACATATAATATTACTAATAATATTACAATATAATAATTATTTTTTGTCATGTCAGGAGTGGCTTGAGAAACTGCAAGTCGCTTCTGGTGTGAGAGAATTGGCCATCTGCAAGGACGTTGCCCAGGGGATGCCTGGATGTTTTGATGTTTTATCATCCTTGTGGAAGGCTTCTCTCATGTCCCCACATGAGGAGCTGGGATTGATAGATGGAGCTCATCCATGCTCTCCCCACTGAAGCCCCCAGTGGCGCAATGGGTTAAACCCCTGTGCCGGCAAGACTGAAGACCGACAGGTCGCAGGTTCGACAATATAATGATATAGTACAATATAGTAATGTATAATACTGATATTGTACTATGCTAATAATATAATATATTTTGTGTGTGTGTGTGTGTGTGTGTGTGTGTGTGTGTATATATATATATATATATATATATATATATACATCTTGTAAGCCACTCTGAGTTCCCTTCGGGGTGAGAAGGGTGGCATATAAATGTCGTAGATAAATAAATAAGTGCTGAAATTCCCTTTTCTGTGTAATTTAGCCCCCGGTGGCACAGTGGCTTAAACCACTGAGCTGCTGAACTTGCTGACCGAAATGTTTATTTATTTACTATATTTATATACCGCCTTTCTCAGCCCGAAGGCGACTCAAGGCGGTTTACAGTTAGCACAATTTGATGCCCCCAGGTTTGAATCCAGGGAGCGGGGTAAGTTCCCGCTGTTAGGCCCAGCTTGTGCCAACCTAGCAGTTCGAAAACATGCAAATATGAGTAGATCAATAGGTACCACTCTGGCAGGAAGGTAACAGCTCTCTATGCAGCCACATGACCTAGGAGGTGTCTATGGACAATGCTGGCTCTTCGGCTTAGAAATTGAGATGAGCACCAACTCCTAGAGTCAGACACAACTGGACTTAATGTCAGGGAAAAACCTTTACCTAATCTATGTAATTTATTCAAACATCAGACCTCATAGGTTTTGGATTCTTCTGCTCATCAGTCAATCCATTAAAATATATTGTTTCCGCTCTTATATCCCATCATGTTATAGCCCAACAATATGAGAGGCCATAAACCGGCCCACAGCTTAAAAGGTTTGAGGATGCTGGGAAAGGTCCTTCCTCGGTAGCCTGGTATGTTTGCTCCTGTGGCAACTCATATCTTAGCTTGCCCGTTCCATGCTGGGAAAGGCAACAGAAACCCTGACCCTTAAACTCACTTTGCTAACTTAGAGTGCATGACTAAGGAACAAAAACCAGAAAAGTTGTACCTCCTGGAAGAGGAAGCAGTTCCATCTAGAATTAATCCTCCATCATACTACCAATGCCTTTTCATCATGTCATATTTAGCTTGCAAACTTCAGAGTAAGGAACTGTTCTTTTACATGCAAAACATCCTGTAATACAGTCACCATTTGCAGTGATAGCATAATAAGGAAATGGAGGAGCTGGATGCTTGAGATCGTATTAGTTCAGAAGCAAAGTTTGGGCTTTTATATACAGTGTTCCGTCTTCCAGGAGCTTGGTTTGCATATTTTAATTGCATAAAATAGCATCCCTTTGCATTTTCCCCCTGGGCTGCTACAGTCTCAGCAGCACCCTGAAAGTTAAACATTAGCAGAGGCTGGAAGCCAGCCTGCAAGCCTTTTGCTGTTATTGGTTTAAAAAGGTATCCCTTTGGTCCAGAGACCGCCCTTTTTCCTGGGGATGAGATCTCCATTTTGGAGAAGCTCTCCTGCCTTCTTTAGTATAGAAAATGCCTCAGATGTGCTGGTGGCCAAGCCAGGTAGCTCGGACAAGCCATTGTGAATACGATTAAGGCCTGGGTAACAACGGAAAAATTTGTTTCTAAAATCGATTCGTTTTTTGGGGTTTTTGCGTTTCGTTATTTAAAATAATTACAAAATTTTCCTTTTAAAAAGTTCGATATTTACGAAATTTCGTAAATGTGAAAAAAATTACAAAACATTAACAAATCGATTTCCGAAACAATAACGAATCGATTCGTTAATGGCGGACGCGACCGCGAAATACGCTAAAAAACCTCCAAAAACTTCTGAAGCTTCCCTCTCCCTCTGTTGTTGACTGTTGGTGTGATATTATAATTTTTTTTCACTAATTAAACAAAAAACAACCATAAAACTTGCCCCAGACATGCGGAAATAATAACGAAACGACCTCAAAACAATAACGAAACGAATACAATAACGAAATACGAAGCATTTACAAAACTATTTAAAAATTCGTTTTTTAAAAAAATTGCTCCAGAATGGTTCGTTATCGTTTTGTAATTTAAAAAATTAACGAATTATTAACGAATTACGAATTAACGAAACGAAACCGCCCAACCCTAGTGAGTACGGTTACCCTCTTGCCTTTGAAACTGGTGCTGAGCTCAGATAGAGAAAGACCTGCTCTTTCTAAAGGATAGCAGCTCAGCGCTGGGGCAGGGAATATCTCAGGATTTTCCTGCCATTGGGAGAGGCTCCATTACTTCATCTCCAAAACTAACCTTGAGCTTAGATAGGGGAAGACCTGCACTTTCTAAAAGATAGCATCTCAGGGTTAGGGTAAAAGATCCCAGGATTTTTCTACCGTTGGGGAAAGTTAACTCAGCAGCTAAAGAAAAGGGGAAGGAAAGAACATCTATATGATTTCACAAGTTGACTATTTGTGTTTGTAACTTCATCAAGCTGTGCCAAGTCTGTCAAGGACTTTGAGAAATAAATGTTTTGTTTGATGTTCAAATCTAGACTGGCCTCAGTTGCTGAGAATTTTGAGCTTCTAAGTAAGGCACCCGCAGTTCACACAGATAAAGAGAGAAGCACATCTTAGTTTTAACTTTATAGTGTCTGGGTGTGATGGCACATACAGGAAGTCCCCAAATTATGAACAAGATAGTTTCTCTAGGTTTGTTCTCAAGCTGAATTTCTATGCAAGTCGGAATAGGCAAATTGTTAAAGTAAGTAGTCATATGTCTTTTTTTTAATGATTTGGATACCACAGAAAAGGGTTGACACCCCTGTAAAAAATTTTTAATCTGTGCCCCTGTTTAGAAGATTTCATCTCACTTTCTGCCCCTGTCATAATTGGATTTTGAAAAAAATTGAAGCTTGGCCTCTCACATAACATCGAAAAAAACCAAAGTTCTCTACCAGACGGGCACAAACCAACCTCTACGCAATTCCAACAATGCTTTCCTTTAAGCATGGAAGATTCATGTATGTGTATTTTCAGAAGCCCAAGTTAGTTAATGATTTATAAGGCAAATGAAACTTTACCCTCTGGATCTTTGGCACAAATCTAAGCTGTTGCTTAAAGCAAGGCTCTCAAAAATACACTAGTAGCTAGCAATCTCTGTGGTGGACCCGGAAATAGTTGAAGGAGCAAGATGTGGTATTGGAAGAAAGCGAGAGGCGACTATGAGAAATGATTGCTACTTTCAGAATCAGAATCAGATCACCACCCTCCAGTGTATAAGAAATCCAGTTATCCAAATCTGCTCATAAGAAATAGGACATAGGAAATTTATTTATCGCACTATAATTTATGGATTCTGAAAATATTGCAGGTGGTTCTTACTTCTGATATTGCTTTCTATAATATGGACGGCTCAGGTGGTAGATTCTGAGTAAATGAAAGGGAACAGCAAAGTTTCAGAGAAAAGGAGAGAGGATAGTGGGTTGTTGTAGGTTTTTTCAGGCTATTCTCTCCTGATGTTTCGCCTGCATCTATGGCAAGCATCCTCAGAGGCAGTGAGGTCTGTTGGAACTAGGAAAAAGGGTTTATATATCTGTGGAATGACCAGGGTGGGACAAAGGACTCTTGTCTGCTGGAGCTAGGTGTGAATGGTTCAGGTGGTGCAATACCAGCTAAATAGTATAATTTCTCCAGTGGTGAGGGGCATAGACATCCTGTAGTAATGCAGCATGTCTCATTAAGAGCCACATCCAGTGTTTTAATGTGGTGAGATGTGTTCCACACTGGGCATGCATATTCAGCAGCAGGGTAGCAGAACGTAAGGGCAACTATTGCTCTTAATCTTAGGTATCTAACTTTATTTATATATATTTTTGCATTGACAGTGGATCTGGACCAAACTTGGCACACATCCCCACCATGGCCAGCTTTAACTTCTGATGTAGTTTTGGGGCAATTACTGATTATGATGGGTCTTGCATGTCCTTATCTGATTTTTAATGGGACCATTCATAAAATCCAAAAACAAAAATGACTACTTCTGAGAAATAGCATTACAAATTACTTAACCAGTACATTGCCAGGCACCTAAGCTAGCGTCATATAAAGTGCATTGATTCTTTCTTTTCTTCAGCCCTGTCTACTGGCAAGAAGGTGATACATCGCTGACTCACCTTGAACTTCTCCAGAAGAACAGTTCACACAGCCTGGACAAAGCCACAGGTGGTGGGATCCTACGTGTCTCCTTCCAGAATGGCTCCCATGGTGCTCTCTACCAGTGTTATGTCAATAGGCACCTAGTAGGCAAGTTTTGGGTTGCCTCCCATGGTGCTATGCTATCTCGCATGGAACTGCCTGAGTCGTATTCTCTCGCTGTATCATTGATATTAGGCTTTGCAATGTTTCTTGTCTTCCTGGTGTTCCTCAGTGTCATTCAATCCTGCAGGAAGAAACCAGCAATTGCTGTGGTCTAGGAGGAGCACATTATGCTTTATGAATATCCCAAGGAACATGACATGGTTTGCTGGCCAATAAAGATATTAACTATTATTACATATAGAATCACTCTTGGTCTTGCAGCTACATGAGAAAAGGGATGGGCTTGTCTTTAAGTCAATATTAATTCTCTAGGGCAGGAGTTCTCAAAGTATTCTCCGCGGAGCCCTTGGGGCTCCGCAAAGCATATTGATGGGGCTACATGGTGCCCCTCTCTCACTCCAAACTTCCCCTCCTCTTTCCTGCTCCTCACCTCATTCACACTGCCTTCCTTGCCCCAAAAGCCTTTTTTTCCTTGCCTTCCCCACAGTCCAGATCCTTTGCCCCTTACCTTCCTTGCTTCCAAAACCCTATTTCCCTCCCACTGCGCGGGAGGTGCTTTAATTGTGCTTTTCCTGCATGGCAGAAGGATGGTGGACTGGATGGCTACAGGTGGATTCCCAGGCAAGGGAAATTAAACCTGATTTAAGAAGCCCGCTTTTCCAGTATTTAGCACAGCAGTGGTAGCTATAAACAAACCTCCTGCTTCAAATCGCCATACATACAATTGCATGTAAATCCATCCATTTAAGAGTAGGTATTAGGGGTGTGCAATTTTTTATTCATTGTCATAAGTCGTATCAAATTTGTTAAATTCGTATTTACGGCACAACCAACACGCAAGCGTGGCCCATGCAAAACACTTAAGAATCTAAACTTACCCAATACGTTTTTGTTATAATTTTGTAAATCTTGGGAGCCTCCAAAAGTCTGTTTCACTTTCAGCACAAGGGAGCAAAGCAAAGCAAAGCCAAAAGAGCTATCTGCGGTCCGGATCTCACTATCAGCAAATTGCTCTAAATTGCTCAATTTTATTACTATCATTATTAATACAAATACTGGATGGCCATCTGTTGGGAGTGCTTTGATTGTGCTTTTCATGCATGGCAGAATAAAGGGGGTCAGGCTGGATGGCCAGAGGGGTCATTCACTGAAATACTGTTAAGTTTATGCTGGTGAAAATTGTTCTTCACTTTAAATATTGTATTGTTCTTTCTTTTCTTTTCTTTTGAACTGTGTTCATTGCTTCACACAAACACACTCCATCTATCTGCCACTGCTCTGGCCTGGCCCATGCCTGATATACTGTATATAAGTACAGGTTTTCCCTAGACATGAATTCTAGTCGTGCCCAACTCTGGTTGGTGGTGCTCATCTCCATTTCTAAGCCGAAAGAGCCAGTGTTGTCTGTAGACACCTCCAAGGTCATGTGGCCAGCATGACTGCATGGAGTGCTGTTACCTTCCCCCCCCGGAGTAGTACCTATTGATCTACTCACATTTGCATGTTTTCGAACTGGGGCTAAAAGCAGGAGCTCACCCTGCTCTCCACATCTGAACCATCAACATTCCAGTCAGCAAGTTCAGCAGCTCAGTGGTTTAACCCAATGCACCACCAGGGACTCCATATATATGTCTATGTATTTGTATATGTATATACACACATATACACACATACAAACACACATTATAGATACACACACATGTACACATATGTGTACACACACACATTATATATATATTATATATTATGTAATATATAAACATTTCTTGAGACTCCATGATAAACTTTTGCTTCAAAAAGGGTTCCGCGGTTGAAAAGGCTTGAGAACCCCTGATCTAGAGAATGCATATGAAAAAAGACCAGATTATCCATGAGATTAAACATTTTTTTAAAGAAGCGTGCTTAATTCCACCAGAAAAGGGTCACCATGTCTGCCCATTTGACATCAGATTCCTAATCTCAGTGGCTGAGGCAAACTTTCCCCAACACAGTTACTATATATCCAAACAGAAGATTAAAGGTAAATGTTTGCAACAAGATAAACAGTGCTGGAAATGAACGGGATATATAGTTGACCCTTTGTATCCACAGCTGGAAAATATTTTTTTAGAAATCCATAAAGCAAACCTTCACTTTGCCATTATATATATAAGGGACATGTTGTTACTATCTCATGGTATATAATGGGACTTGAGCATCTGCTGATTTTTGTATCCATAAGGGGGTCCTGGAACCAAGCCCCAACAGGTACCAAGAATCTACTAGACATCATATTTATAAACTTGGTGTGCTACCTTTTTCTCCTCAAAGGTAGCAATGGGGGGGGGGGGGTTTCAGATCAATCTATAGCTCAATCTACAGAAATATGACTTCTCATGATACATCTCCTTGAGTTTTGCCCGTTGCTATTGCCATCACATCCATCGATTTCATTCTTTTTACAGTTTGTGTATAGCAGCGTTTTTGATCTGCAGTAGGGATCTTTCAAAGTTTTTTTTTTAAAGTAATCTATTGAACTGGCATCACGGTCTAAAGCAGTGTTTCTCAACCTTCCTAATGCTGTGACCCCTTCATACAGTTCCTCAGGTTGTGGTGACCCCCATTCACAACATTATTTTCATTGTTACTTCACAGCTGTAAGTTTGCTACTGTTATGAATTGTAATGTAAATATCTGATATACAGGATGTATTTTCATTCACTGGACAAAATTTGGCACAAATACCCAATATGCCCAAATTTGAATATTGGCTTGGTTGGGAGCAGATTAATTTTGTCATTTGGGAGTTGTAGTTGCTGAGGTTTATAGTTAACCTACAATCAAAGAGCATTCTGAACTCCACCAACGATGGGATTGAATCACACTTGACACACAGATCTCCCATGACCAACAGAAAATACTGGAAGGGTTTGGTGGGCATTGACCTTGAGTTTGGAGTTGTAGTTCACCTACTGTTAGAAAGCACTTTGGACTCAAACAATGATGGATCTGGACCAAACTTGGCATGAATACACAATATCCCCAAATGTGAACACTGGTGGAGTTTGGGGAAAATAGACCTTGACATTTGAAATTGTAGTTGCTGGGATTTATAGTTCACCTACAATCAAAGAGCATTCTGAACTCCACCAATGATAGATTTGGGCCAAACTTCTTGACTGAATCCCTATGAGCAACAGAAAATACTGTCTGCATTCAGATTTCTAAATTTGCAGGTTATTGATTTAGTTATGTTTTCTCAAGGAATCTTTAGGTTTGCCAGTGCGGTTCTATGGAAGTTGTGCTAGAGGACCTAGAAATTCCTAGAGAGGTGTTTTGTCAAGTAAAAAAATGTATTTTTTTTATAAAATGTGGTTTGTCACAGAAGTCCTATGCCTTCATTTGTACTGTACTGTACTTTGGAAAATGACACTGATCAGCATTGCACGAGAGGGCACTGTTGCATAAGGTAAGCACAGCACTACAATTTTGTGAGTGAAATAACTGGATGCTGAATATCAGAAGGGATCTTATAGACTGTGCCTATTGATCACCTGACCCCAAATGTGCTCCCCTTAGCTCAATGCTGAATTCATGAAAATTTGGCAACAGTAAAAGGTTTGTGACCAGACTGAAGCCCTAGATGAAGCCTTCCTTGAATGGATGAGCAAACCTGCAGAAAGAAGAGATATACTAGTAATGAGAGATTTCAATAAAGTATTTGTCATATTTGTTGGAAAATAAACTCTGCCAAGAGTACAAAATCCAACAAATTCCTCACTTGCCTTGCAAATAATTTTATTGTCCAGAGAGTGGAAGAAGCAACAAAGAGATCAGCTATTCTGGATCTGATCCTAACCAACAATGAGGACCTGGTAAATGGAGTGGAAATGGTGGGACCCTTAGTATCTCCATGTACTTCTGGAGTTTGAGATACAAAAGAAGGGTGAAATGAATGGCTCATCCACACAGGCCTTATCCTGGGATCTGTCTTGGTTCCTACCACAGGCATCCATATGACATCTCCAGTAAAAATGCATTAATTTGGGACAAACCAAAGTTTCCCTGGTTTGTTCTAAATTAATTAGATACCCCATTAGATCCAAGCCTTCCTGGAAGGCCCAGGTCTTGGACTTGTGGGGACTGACTCCTAGGTAGTCGTGGGTGAGTCCCTATAAAAGAATCAACAATATACTACATCAATATATCACCAAATATCTCACTGCTTGCCACCAATTATAAAGGAAAATATCCCAACCTGTGACGCGAGGCTGGAGGCTTATTGAGAATATGACTGGGCAGGATGGTTCTTCCCCAAAGATTCACTTTTTCCTCAAAAATCCTACACCTGTGCCTCCAATTTTGTAGTGAGATGTAAACAGATAGTTGTAATGGTAGAGTGAACACTGCTTATCTTTTAGTCTTCTTTTGGTTTAATGCTGCCACCAACCCAAGTTGCCTTAGGATTTTTTAAATGAGTTTTTGAGGTAAACTTTCCCCACTTCTCCCAACACTGCTCTTCCCCTAGCTCCCAGGCTATTTGATAAAAGACCTTTCTGTAGTATCGATGCTAAAGATGCTGGAAATATCACAAAGGATTAATGATAGATTTAGGAACGATAGAGACCTTTTTGAAAGTTAAATAGAAAAAGATTTATTTATAAAAACAGACAACTAACTTCTGAGAGGCACAAAACTCTTGGCTTGTTACAAAAGTACTATAGCTTGATGGTTGCTAGAATATGTTTTCTTCACTTAGTTGCATACAGAGCTAATCAAACAGATCTACTACTAGTAACAAAAATCCCTCACTCAACTTCGGAGAAATAGTAATGAGTTTCTGACTAACCTATTCTAGGTAGTCCCCTGAGTTATCAGCTAACTCTTCCCAGAGTTCTTCCTGCTAATTAACTCAGTCTAGAGAACTAATCTCTTGTGCTATCTCTCACAAGAAATCAGGTTGCTGTCTGGCCTTTCTCCTGTCAGCTAATCAGCCCTGACTGGCACAGACACACTCTCCCTGAAAACCTAGTTTCAAAAATAAACTACTCCCACCAGCTCCCAGTTCTCAACTCCACACAAGCTGAAATCTTTTCCCTCCTCAGACTTGGCTCCTCCCATCTCTTCTAGCCAATCCCAGGAGACCTCAAACTCCTCCCATCTTCTAGCTATCCTCACTCAAGATGGCTGCTTCCCTGGCATACACTCTCAAAGTGGAGGTTTGCCATACTGTTATCCAGGCTTCTTTTCCGGCCTAC